GCTTCGAACCATGATCCTCCTGTTATCTGCTTCCTGAGGAGCTAGGATTACAGGCGTGAACCACCACCACGCAGCTATGTTCACTTCAATCTTTTTTCTTTCTGTTCTTCAGACTCAGTAATTCCCACTGTCCTGGGAAGCTCACTGCTTCCTTTTTCTGCTACTCAAATCCACCTTCAAATCCCTCTAGTGAATTTTTGTTTCAGTTATTAAGACTTTTCAGCTCCAGGCATTTTTTTAGGTTTCCATCTATTGATATCTCCATTTTGTTCATATGTTGTTTTCTTGGCTTACTACACATCTTCCTATAGTTCTGGGAGCATCTACAAACCAGTTGTTTTTAAAGTCTTTTTCAGCCAAGTCCATCATCTAGTCTCTCACAGACAATTTTTTTTCCTTTGACTGGGCTCCACACTCATGCTTCTTTATATGTCTTGTGATCTCTTGCTAAAAACTGGACATTTGAATCTAGTATGAACTCTAGAAATTGACTCCTCCTTCCCAAGGGTTTACTTATTTGGGGTTTTGATTGTAGTAAGCTGTGTCTGTATCAGTGATCAGCCTGAGGCATAAACTTAAGGTCTTCCAGGTCTTTCTTAAGCCTTACTCTGAACAAGTGACTTCCTAAATCCCACCCCTATATGTGGTTGCTTTTCAGTGCCCTAGATTTTAATTTGGGCTCTCAAAAGGGGAAAAAGAGAAAAATGAAAGGAGTTACTATTGCTGGCTCCTTAAATCCCGACAGTTTCTTCAGGTGTCTGCACCTCCGGCATCAGAAGCACCAATCAGAACACAGATCCAGGGACAGAGCCCCGGATTCCCACATGATGTCAGAAATAGAGCTGCCAGGAGCTAAAGCTGACTGAAATTCACCTCAGCTTACTGAAACTTACCACAAATGACCACCAAAGGACTACCCTGGAAGATGCAAGCCTTGGAATAGACTTCTGGGTTCTAAAACAGTTACATTAAAGAGATTTTGCCAGCACGACTCCTGTCTAGGTGGAGATAGATTGCTGGTTTTTCCTACTCCACCGTGCTCACACAGCCTGTGTGAATAAAGCTTTATTGGAACATGGCCACACTCGTTATGAATTATGTGGAGACCTCACACTGCTGCTTGGCTCACTACACATCAGCAGTAGTTATAAGTGATCATTTCAAGGACTCTGCATTGTCACGCGCTGTTATTTTTATTTACTTCTAGCGCATATCTATCACGTCAAACCAGGAGGAGTGGACTCCAATGCCGGATTTCAGGCACGGTGAGGTGTGGATTATCCAACTGGATGGCAAAAAATGTTATTATGCAAGACACTATAGCTGGTTGGTATTACTGGACCAAGCAATCATCATTGGAACTACTCTAAATACACAACAGGATTTCTGGTCAAACACTAAAACTACAAACGGTGGGGGGCCTGGGATGTAAGCCAGTGGTAGAGTGCTTGCCTAGCATGTATGAGGCCCTGGGTTCCATCAAGAATGATGAAGGAGCCAGGTACCAATGGCTCATACCTGTAATCCTAGCTACTCAGGAGGCAGACATCAAGAGGATCACGGCTCAAAGCCAGCCCTGGCAAATAGTCCACAAAACTCTATCTTGAAAATACCCAACACACAAAAAAAGGGCTGGTGGAGTGGCTCAAGGTGAAGGCACTGAATTCAAGCCACAGTACCACAAAAAAAAAAAAATGGAGCTGGACACTGATGGTTCACACTTGTAATCCTAGCTACTTGGGAGTCTGAGATGAGGAGGATCAAGGTTCAAGGCTAACCTGGGCAAATAGTTCGTGAGCCCGCCCATCTCCAAAATAACCACGGCAAAAAACAGACTGGAGGCTCAAGCAATAGAGCACCTGCTTTGCAAACATGAAGCCCTGAGTTCAAGTCCCAGTCCCACAGTGTGTGAGGGGGAGAAGGCTGAAAGAGCCAGATGCAGTGACTCACACCTGTCACTCTAGTTATTGGAAGGCAGATAGGGAGGATCACAGTTCCAGACCAGCCAAAACTAGGGAAAGACGTCATAGGACACTTCAGACTGCATATAACTTATTCGCGTTTCATGCTAAGCTCCTTATCTCAGCCCAAAGCTATCCTTTGCTGTTGTAAATTGTAATTAAGACAGGAAGCCTTGGGGTGAAGCTGCCCTCCATTTTTCCATTATCCCTCAGATAAAAACATGAATATTGATCACACCTCTGATGACCCTGACCCACCACCCTAGTCCAGGGACCACCCAAACCCCTCCTTACTCACCAATTATTGGTGCTCAGGACCCGCCCAGGGTTTTCCCCTCTCACCGATTATCTGTGGTTTAAAAGGCCTTGAAAAAGAGAAAACTGTTTCCTGCTTCCATCCCACCTGGCCAGGTCAGGCCACCATTGCTTTTTATAATCTCTAATAACCTCTATCTATTGCCTCCCTTACTACATCCATGTGTCCTGGCTGGATTCCTCTGTGCTGGCCACAAAGAATTTGGGAATCTTCTAGTTAGAGACTACACAAGTCTACAGCAGTGAGACCCCACCTCAACCAATAAACTGGGCATGGTGTTCCTTGCCTATTATCCCAGCTATGTAGGAGGCTATAGATAGAATTGTGGTCCAGACTGGCCCAGGCCAAAAAAAATTAAAAGAAAAAAAAAAAAGGCAGACTGGAGGGAGGAAATGGGGCTGCAACCAAATTATTTCCAAGTGGCTCATTTGTTAGCCAAGCAAGGAAAGATGTTTACTGATAGTGACTTAAATAGTGTTAGATTACAGCAGCTCAAGAAGCATGTCCATGTTGCAATTGCTTTAAGTGGGGTGGGGAAGGAGTTGAGGGGGAGAGACGAAGGGGGCAATGTAACCAATGTACAATGTAAGTCTAATCGAAATTGTCACTATGAATCCCCCCCACCAAATAATGAATATATCCTAATAAAAAATTTATTATAAAAAAAAAAGCATGTTCACAGGAAATTTAAGACTATTGACCTTTCAGTAAGAATGTTAGGTTGCAGTTATGCATGAGTAATGGGAATATGCTAAGAAAACCTAAAATGGGGGTCTCTGAGAGAAAAACACTTAACAAAAATAGCTCACCAAGATTTTTTAACCAGGCATCAGTGCCTCAGGTCTATAATCCTAACTACTTGGGAGGCTGAGATCGGGAGGATATGGTTCAAGGTCAGCCCAGGCAAATAGCTAGAGAGAACCCATCTCTAAAATAACCAGAGCAAAATGTACTGGAGGTGTTGCTCAAGCAGTAAGAGTAACTGCTTTGTAAGCTTGAAGCCGTGAGTTCAAACCCCAGCCCCATAAAAAAAGATCCAGGCCTGTGCATCCTAGAGGTCAGGTCAGTCCAGCAATAGTTTTTGCTGTAAATCTACAGACCCACCCTAGCCTCCCTCTTGACCTTAACCATGATTACAGACACATGCACTGTTCTTAGGGAGGAAGTTAATGCTATAAGCCCCTCCCACTCCAATAAAAACTGGTGCCAGGATAAAAATAATTGTCATTGTCCTTCTCACTCTAAGGATTACCTTCTTTCAGTCTATTAAAAGTATATTCCTTTCCTAATAAAATTTACTGTGGTTTTCACTGTATTTGCAAAGACTGAGGTAACTGAGATAAGGATATTGGGAACATGAAGTCAATTAAAAACAAAGTGGGGCTGGAGGTGTGGCTGCAGTGTTAGAACCCCATCCTAGCAAGCCTGAGGTCCTGAGTTCAGACCCCAGTGCCACAAAAAAAATAAAAAAAAGAAAAAGAAAAACAGGTGAGCCAGGTATGGTAGTACATGCCTGTAATCCCTGAACTTGAGAGGCTGAGGCAAGACAATTGTGCATTGTAGACCAGACTGTACTACACAGTGAGTCCCTATCTCAAATAAGCAAAAACAAGGTGAGTGATTTGAAGGCATTTTCCTTGTTTCATGCAGAATCCACAGATTGAGACTGTACACTTACTCTTTGAGGAGTCAGTGCCTCAAGGCTGACATAGGAAGGACTGGAAATTAGCCTGTATGCATAGTTGCAAGGAACTACAACTGCAAGCAAGAATTTTTTTTTTTTTTGTACTGGGGTTTGAACTCAGGACTTTGCTCTTACTAGGCAGGCTCTCTACCACTTGAGCCATGCTTCCAGGCATAGAATATTTCAAGGTTGAAAAAAATCAATGTAGTAGAACCTGAAGGAAGTCTGTTAATATGTTACAACTGATGGAGGTAAAAGTCTGTGGGGAGCAGAAAAGGCTGAGGTGGAAATATTTGCCATACTGTGAGAACATGAGTGTTCACCTGCCTGGCAAACACAAGGCCCTGAGTTCAAGCCCCAGTACCACAAAAACAAAAACAAAGGATTCATCAATAATTCACATCTTGTCAAATACTCATGTCTGTAATCCTAACTACTCAGGAGGCAGAGATCAGGAGGATAGCAGTTCAAAGCCAGCCCGGGCAAATAGTTCACGAGACCCTATCTCGAAAAACCTCTTCACGAAAAAGGGCTGGTGGAGTGGCTCAAGGTGTAGCCCTGAGTTCAAGTCCTAGTACCATGCAAAATAAAACCTCATATCTTGTCCCAGGTAGTTTGAGTTGCCTTGTTTCTTTGTCTTTGAGTGGAAAGTTTAACATAGAAAGTATGAAAACATAGTTTCAGGCTGGGGTGTAGTATGCAGTGTGTAAGTTAGTGATGGAGTGCTTGCCTGGCATGCTCCATCTCCATCACCACCAATAACTAAATAAAATCTAATACATTTACTGCATCTCAGGAAGCAAACCAGGGAAGGTTTAAAAAGTGAAATAAGGAGCCCAGTACATTAGTTCACACCTGTAGTTCTAGCTATACAGAAGAACTGTTCTCAAGGGAAAAAAAAAAAAGTGAAATAAACACAAACAGAAATAAACTGAAATGGATAGCATTTTAGACATAAGTATGGAAGTCAATGTGGAGATCACTATGATCTGGGGTTTGCTATCTTAAGGTATTTAAAACACTGAGACAGTATCAGACTTCATTTTTATGAAATATTCAGAATAAATTAAGTAAGCTTACATAGCAGTTAAACATCATACATTTAATGTACTAAGTTGTACAGACATTACAGAGGGCTGCATAATGGTCAGGAAGTGTCAACTGACCAATAAGCAAGCAATGAACGCACAAAACTTAAACCAAATGCACTTCCTTATGGCACTCCTCCCATGCACACAAACTCCCTGGACATTAATTACTTCAGTCATAGACTAGCAGATGGACTATATTTTCTGACATCTTAGCCTTCCATCCTCAAAAAGGTTAGCTTCCCACTACAACAACAAAGACCCTCTGGACACACAATCCCTACTGAAATCCCCATTGGGGACAAGATGAGGAGACACTGAAGCAGCTGAACCAGCTCTAGTCCCTCCAGCGGTGTCCACACTGAGCATTGCAGCACTTGTAGAAGGTGGTCATGGGTTCATCTGCAGAGCGGGTCTGAAGCTGCATGAAGTAAGCACGAGGATGTTCGCATTTGGGACACGGCTCTGGCAATGAGAAAAAACAATTGATCCACATTATACAAAAATGATGCTTGTGACAAACACACTTCTTGAGAGCAGGTAATTATGCAAAAGCAATAAAAACATCCCATCTGTCCTCTCTTGCCTGCAACAAATTTACAAACAGCAGCATCATTCCAACACAGCACTAACACAGAAGAAATGAGGGAGACCTGTGACCTTGAAAGCATTCCTCTTCCCTCCCTGGGTTCCACTTCTCAAATTTGGTTAAAGACTGGCTGGAAACGCATGGAAAGTGACCACCTTAGTCTGTTTTGTGCTGCAATAAAATACCTCAGACTGAGCAAAGGAATAGTTTTTCCGGTTTTGTGTTTATTTTGGGGATCGGGGGCTGGAATGAGGTCTTGCTATGTTGCCAGGTTGGTCTTGAACTCCTGGGCTCAAAAAGCAATCTGCATGCCACAGCCTTTTGACTGAGTAGCTAGAAGTACAGGCTCATGGCTGGTTTTGAGATAATTGCCCGAAAAGCCTGTGTTGCCATGAAGGGAACAGTAAGGGGATCCTGGTGAGTGCTCAGAAGAAAAGAGCTGTAGGACAAGAGGCTTCTTCATGGAGGTTTAGTGGTTGTGAACAGAACATTGGTAGAAATAGACTCTTCTAGGGAGATCTTAGAGGAATGAGGACTATGTTATCAAAACTAGGGGAAAGGCCATCTTGTTTCAAAGTGGCAAAGAGCTTGGCACCGTCCTAGGATTTTGCTGAAGACAGAAATAAAGAGCTATGAGGCCCAGTGGGACCTTGGGACTCACTGCCCAGGGCTGCCTGGTCATGGGCTCCCTGCATTCCTGCTACTCCTCTGCTAGACTCCTACCAGACACTGAACCTGCTAGTGCCTAGATCTTGAACTTCCCAGCCTCCAGAATTCTCAGGAAAAAACTTCTGTCCTTTATAAATTACCCAGTATTCTGTTATAGCTGCACAAAGGGAGTAAGACAGTGACTTATGAGTGCTGTATATTTGGGATCCATGCCATACAGATTCTCACAATAAGAACAATGGACACGTGCCCTACTGGTGTGGGGAGCGGATTAAAGCCTATGAGAACTGGACAGAAACAAGGTGAGATGCAGTTAATTGCTTTTACCTGTAAGCCGAGATAGGCACAGCCCTGGGCCACAAAACAGGGAAAAGCAGAACAGCTGCGTCTCCTAAGCTGACTTCAGAGAAGCAGGAACACAGGTTTCTCCTGTTACAATGTCATGTGGCTCCACCCTGTTTGCTGCTATAAAAGACCCCTGAAGGAGGAAGAGGGTTTCTGCTTTTTGCTTTTGGCTCTTGGGGGGCTTTACGGTGTGGGACGTTTTTGGAAGGGAAAAGGGTTATTGAAGGGACTATCTATCAACCCCATAGTCTGCACTGAGAACTTTAATATAGGCTTCAGAAAGCAAAGCTGAGAAAGAACTTCGTACATGGCCTTAGGAAAGCTAAAGAAAAGCCAAAGAGAACACGGGACAGTGCACAGCGCAAGTCTAGGGACCGAGACTTTAAGAGCTATGCATATGCAGGTTGTGGGTGTGGCTGTTTGCAAGTTTGTAGCACCCAGTTAGGAGAGCAAGAGAGAGATGAGACAGTGCAAGCCTGAAGGTTTTATTAGCAATTAAGCTAAAGATAAACTGAGAGCAAACATGGGACAGTGGGAGCCTAAGGAAAGAGGTTTGAAACAAGGTTTTAAAGAACTGCAAGGAGCAAGGCCTTAAAGAATCAAGATGGAGAAAAAGAAGCAATGAAGGCTGTGCATCTCCAGCCTAGTGTACAACACACCTGACCCCATATTTCTGGTCTATCCTATATCTTCTCTAAAATCTCCAGTCGCCCCCAGTAAAGTCCAGTAATAACCAAGGAGCAAAAGAGAAAACCTCGCTCCAGCAAGAGAGGGAGTGTGAGAAACAGCGTCCCCTTCACACTGGCAGCAGCTCCTTAGGCTGTTTTTACCAACATCCTTCCACACATCCACACGTTTTCAAAGTGCCCCTGCATACAGGTTTACCTTCAACATGATTTAATATTGAGAAACTGATCCTGCTTTTCTTAACAATGCTGAGGGTGAAACTCAGGGCCTTGCACAGTGAGCTACATCCCCAGCCATAAGATCCTTCTCTTGATGGAACTACCTTCAAACACCATTTCTAACATTAGGGACATAATCCATCTTTTAGTGACAAGTTCTAACAATGTCAGCTTTTCACCATAGTAAAGATTTTTATGTTCTTCTACAGAAGGAAAATGTAGTGTTAACCATGAGTTAGCCCCGTCACAGGGGTTATATTTAGGGACCTTCACTTTCATTCCCTGGTCACATCCGTCATGAGACATGAATCAAAATTAAAATACGCATTTATTTTGTCCCACCTATACTTTAATGCTCCCTAGTCTTTTTTTTTAACTTTTAAAAATGTATATTAGAAGGAAAAGACAAGGGCTAGGGGTATAACTCAGTGGTAGAGTGCTTGCTTAGTGTGCACGAGACACTGCAGAGATACAACCAAGGCCCTATAATAAATGAGTTTTCCTTGAGACTCTATCCCAGGGACTGTACCTAGACGGTTTATGTAACAAAACAGGAGTAACAACAAAACATTAAAGAAAAACACATTTTCCATTTTAGAAGCCTACATCCTAGACTCTGTCACCGAGTAGCACAGTGACAGAGTCCACAGCTCAGAAATGGAAAAGATTCTACCCTCACCTGCAGTAGAGTCAACATTCTCCCAAGCAGCTGCTCCCCCAAGCACATCATCCACTTCTTTCAGCTTTGGATACTTCCGGTTTGTTACCTAACAACAAAAACAAGTCTTTAGACTCAAGCGAACAGTACAAACATGGGCCACCAAACCAGAACTGCCCTCAAGTATCGCCCTCCACAAAGGGTGGAGGGATGCTAAATGAAAATGATCCTGTTCTACACAGAGCAGCACACACCACTGGAATGTGGAGGATGGGTGACTGGGATATCCCACAGGTGTCAGAGACCTCTGTAACGACCAGAGCAGGACAGGGAAACAGCTAAGGTGGGATCTGCTCTTTTCTCATGCCATCATCCGCAGGATGAAGCTGGGAGGCCCAGCCACTCCCTCAGACAGATTTCAAACAGGTCACACTTGATTTCTTTTCCAGGTTTAAAAGACATTCCCGAAATTTCAGAATTACATAAGAGTTCATCTTCCCATAATTTCTTACTCTAAACTCCCAGAACATAGTTGTAAAGTCAAACATTACAAATGAGGTAGGGGCTAGCATGGTGGCACATACTTCTAACCTAGCAAGGCAGGAGGCAGAGGAGGAGTTTCTGCTGTTAAGCAAACTACACAATATATAGGAAGGTAATGAGTCCCGTGGAAAATTAAAATAGGATAAGTCGGAGGGAGAGGCTGGATTTTTTTTTTCCCCCTCTTTTTGAAACAGGGTCTTGTTATGTAGCTCAGGGGGCTTTGAACGCGAAGCCCTCCAGCCTTCGCCTCGCCTGGAATTTTAAATAGGGTAATCATTTAAGTAAAGACGAGACCAATAAGTAAAGCAGTTATTCAGGCAGGTGACCCAGGCTCTGACCCAACCCCTCCCCACCTTACTTCCGATTGAAGTCCTAATGTCCTTCTCTCTTTTGCCCCGGCCTCCCGGAGAATCCCACAGTGCAAGCGGCTCTACTAGGGCTTCTAGTGGGGAGGGGCCCTGCTCGCCCTGCGCCGGCGCTGGTGGCTTTAACGAGATCACTGTGGTCACTGTCGCGAACGTAGCCAAGGACGCAGCAGGGAGCCCAAGGAGGAAGTGCCCGCGGTGACCCAAGGGATGGCTGCGACCTGCCCAGGGTGACAGCACCGGGGGAGCAAAGGCCGAACCACGGGTACTTCTGAAGCGACAGCGCGGAGTTCGCGGCCCCACAGAAAGTGACGAGACGGAGCGGAGGGGCGATTCCGGGGCCCACCTTGCGGGTGATGTTGTGCACGTAGGGACAAGTGTTGCAGGCGAAGCGATGGCAGCGCTGTCCCTCCTCCACGATCAGCCCGTTCCCGCAGCCCGGGCAGAAGAGCAGCATCGCTCCAACTCCTCCACAAAGGCCCCGGAGGCCTGCAGCTCCCGAGGGTGGTGGCAACACGCTGCTTGCTCCAACTTACGCGTGTCCCGTATCCGCCCAGCAGCAGCAACGCCTTCAAGCCCCCAGCGGGCCCTGCGGCAGACGGCCTCGCACTTTTTATTGGTCATTGCAGCTGTCCCGGCCCCCCAACCCAGCTCGCCAATAGATACGCTGTCTGCGCGCTCCCAGGAGGCCCTGCGGCAGGCGGTCTCGCACGTCCCGCCCCCCCACCTAGTTTACCAATAGACATGCAATCTGCGCCCTCCCAGCCAGCCCTGTGGCAGGCGGTCTCGCACGCTCATTGGTCACTACGGCCGCCCACCCCCTCGACGAACCAATGGCTGGTCTGCCTCGCCGGGGGTGGGTGCAGTGCCTGCGCGTGCGCACCCTCATTCTCAGCGTGGAGGAAAGGGCTGGCTGAGTTCCGTGAGCGACTAGCAGCCCTGGAGGAAGCTGAGGCTGTGGATCGGCTGAAGGCACAGGAGGACGATGAGGACGAAGAGGAGGCGCTGCCCCACTCCGAGGCTGTGGACGTGTTCCAGGAGGGTCTCGCCATGGTAGTGCAGGACCCACTGCTCTGCGATCTTCCGATCCAGGTATGCGCGGACAGGGCCCCAGCCAGAGGAAAGCACCTCTGGACTTAAGCAAGAGGGTTAGGGTTAGGGGCGCCAAAACACTCCCTCACCAGAGTAAATGGCATTTTAATGTAGTATAAATGTCAAAGTTAATGCAAAAACTTCTAGATAAGAGATACTACTAAGATTTTTAAGTAAAGACCAGTTTGGTTTTTTTCATTTGCCGCAATCATCAGTATGCTTTGGCCGTTAACGATCTTTACTTTCAATCTTGTTTATCATGGATCTTTAAGATTAACTTTGGGGGTGGGGGGCAGGAGATCAAACCTGGAACATGGGAGGCAGTTGCTCTACCACCCAGGCACCTAGCCCAACTTCTGCATTCTTAAATGTTTTATTAAAACATTAGCATTACCTTTTTTGGTGCTTAGTAACTTTGCACACCTGCCTCACCCTAGTCCTGAGACCATGGCCTGGATCTCAGGGAGAACTGTCAGAACCAGTGTCTCCCTCTACTGAGCCCCATCCTCATGTGGGTCCCTTCTCCGTTTCTTTGCCCTTTTCCTCAGAGCCTCTGTTCACTTTGCACGTCACATACAAAAGGAGGGGTGCAACATGAGACTGGGGTGCTGAAAAACAGGGAAACCCTAACCTTAACATACAGGCAAGAACTCTCCTTCATAACATTGGGCACTATTAGCTTTGTTTTCCTTGTGGTGGTTTGGGATGATTTAAAGAAATAAAAAAGTTTCCACCTCTCTGGTCGTTTCTAGGTTACTTTGGAAGAGGTCAATTCCCAGATAGCACTGGAATATGGCCAAGCAATGACGGTCCAAGTGTGCAAGATGGATGGAGAAGTAATGCGTAAGTGCTATCCTCCTTCCTTGAAGTTTGGGCTTTCATGTGGGCAAGATGTTAGCAGAGCTAGTCAGTGAGAAACTCAAGGGCCATGCCCAGGGTTATTGGGACAACCACTAGCTGCCCTGTCTAACAAAGCAGAGGTGACAGGGTCTGGGTTCCATTCCTTACACCTGAGGTTCTGGCTGTGGGTTCTCACATGTGTCAACTCCCACGTGTCAATGCAGCTGTGGTCGTAGTACAGAACGCCACGGTCCTGGACCTGAAGAAGGCCATCCAGAGATATGTGCAGCTCAAGCAAGAGCGTGAAGGGGGCATCCAGCACATCAGCTGGTAAGTGGAGCAGCAGCTCCTTCATTGTAGCCATTCCTGGGCTGGTATGGGGCAGACAGAAACGTAGCTTTCAGCTCTCCATGTGCACACCAGTGCTTTGCTACCAAGCAGTGATTGCAGTCATGACTCCCTGCCCAAGACTCTTGCTTCAACTGTTCCTTCTAAACATACCCTTTCATCATTGACATTCCACCTATACTGCTGGATATCCTTAATTAAGGCATTAGCATGTCCAGAAGTGATCTCCTTTCTTACTTATGGATGGATGGTGCTCCTGACAATGTCCTCCCTTCTGCCTCACCTGGGGTCAGGTCAGCTGTCACTTGTCAGCCCTGTCTCCTATTGGATCAAATGTCCTGTTAGTAGTTTCATTACTGTCAACCTATTTCATTAGCAAGGTGCATTTGGCCTGGCCATACCTTCTTGCAGCTACCTCAGGTCTGGTGCATACAATGTGCAGGAGAAAAGCCCAGGAGGGGTGTACAGTTTTCCTAGCTCCCGTAAGTCTGTTAACCTCAAGCATCTGTGGTCCCAGCCACTCAACTCACCCTACTCAGGGTAGCATGTATTTCACCTGAGTCCCATTCTTTCAGGTCTTACGTGTGGAGGACATACTATCTGACCTCTGCAGGAGAGAAGCTCACAGAGGACAGGAAGAAGCTCCGAGAGTAAGTTTAGTCCGTGTCCTGAGCTGTGGGGGAATATCTGGTCTGTTGCCCTCTAGTGCCCCATGCTCTGCCAGAGGGCTACATGAGAAGGGTCCCTGATTGGAATGACCCTCTCACAAGGGGCCTTGGGGCCTTCCCCACTTGGAGAATGGTGGACAGAGGAGCAGCTCCAGGGGCCCTACTTATTCTCAGCTACAGTGACCCAGGGTTGCACAGAGTCAATAAGAAGGGAGTGAGAGCAGGCATGGAGGGCAAGGCTGCCCTGCTGGTGCAACAGGGGTCTGCTGAAGAATGCCACACCACCTCCTTCCCATAGGTCAGACACTGTTCCTTTCCTTCTTTCAGTTATGGCATCCGGAATCGGGATGAGGTTTCCTTCATCAAAAAGCTGAGGCAAAAGTGAACCTCAGACAAAGACAACTGTCTTTACTGATGGTCAGGCCTTTCCCAGCAGGATAGAAGCCTCCCATCTTTATCCTCACAGAAAGGGGTGAGGGGTATACACCCCTGGTATACTCAGAACTGTCAGCATGGACTCTGGTTCACTCATGACTAGGACAGAGCCCTTCTTTTCCTGTGAACTTGGCCTGGGCCTGCCCTCCCCCTGGTCCTGAGACTTTGACCAAGTGACAGGTCCCACATGGCTGTGAGCTTGGCCCTACGTGCAGAATAAAACTGTTGCTTCATATTTGGAAAAGCCAAAAAGGCACAGTAGCTTCTGTAGGGAAGGCTGGATTTGCCCCATCACAGAGGGAAATCAGCAGAGAACTGGTACAGGGGAGTCCTGACGTTCAAGATGCCACACCACAAGCTTCTGTTACCATGACCTCCATAGCAAGGAGAAAACAGAGTGAATAGCTTTCCATTTCAGCTGTGGGGAAACAGGGCCTGCATCTCGGAGTCTACGGTGGGAGTACGTATGTGACACAGATGGAGATGGGAGTTGTAGGGGTGGGGTGCTTCCAGTGTGGGTGTAGGAAAACGTCACAATACATCCCTAAATCTGTGTCCCTACGATGGTACCAGTCCCTCTAAGGCAGGGAAGCAAGATGTGCATACCTGCCTGAGGGACTGAAGTGGGAGCTAAAAGAGCCTGTGGCCGAGTTTGACATTTAGTTCCTTTTCTGGAGAATTGCACACTGGAGACCAGGGGCCTGCAGGACCTCCCACCACAGCCCCCAGCCAGAAACCAGGAAGGAAGAGACAGTTCTGGTCAAGTTAGTGGCAGCTAAAACGCTCCCGGTCCATTTATTGGCCACATGAGGTGGTCGTCAAGGGACTAGTTAGAAGGTTATCGTGGGAACTAGTGTAATAAATGCCCGGCAGTATAAGGAGTTCAACAGAAGTGAACAAGGCACAAGAGGTCTGTGTTGAGGAAATGCATAGAGGAGGAAGAGCCCTGCAGACTTGTGAGGCTAAGAATGGGCATGGCTGCTACACCCACGCTGCTCAGTGGAGCTGAGCGTCTAGCTCGTACTTCTCACAGAACTTGTCAGTGAAGGGGATGCAAGTAAGGAACTCGCACCACTCACAGCGGACAGGGTAGAAGTAAAAGAGGACTACCAGGCCAGCCAGCAGGCCCAGGAAGACTGCCTGGAAGATTATGATCTGGCAGCGCTTGCGGTACAGGTCAAACTTGCCGAAGCTGATGTAGGGCAGGAAGGCAAAGGAAAGGAAGAGGCCACTGATAAAGCCTGAGATGTGGGCGAAGTTGTCGATCCAGGGCAGCAGCCCGAAGGCAAAGAGGAAGAGCACCACAGCCAGCAGCTTGAAGAAGGCACGCCAGGGTCGCGCCAGGATCTGCCAGCTCTGGAAGAGCTCCACGAAGAGGCAAGCCAGGATGCCAAACTGCGAGCCGGCCGGGCCCACCTAGGGGCAGTGGCAGTGGCTATGAGCAGGTGGGGCTGAGTAGCCCTTTTGGGCTCAGGGTTCATCCCATCCTGTCTCCCAAGGCCAGAGCACACTAGGACTAAAGAGCCCAAAGGAGAAGCTCTCAGGTTGGACACTCGGTGCTCAACACAAGTGCACACAGAGGGTTCCCACCCTGGGAAGCAGCCTTACCTCTGCCCGGTATGGCAGGAAGATGGCACTAGCCAGGTTGCCAGTGACACCACTTAGCAGGTAGATGATGGCTATGCGGTGCCAGCCTGCCAGCTTCTCCAGGTCCCGCAGAACAGTCATCTGGAAGCAGACAGACACCAGGCAGTGCAGGATCCTGTGGGCAGTGGCGGGGGGGGGGTGCAGGTAAGAGGCACCCCTCAATAGAGAAGGCGGCTTCACCACCGACAACCACCCACCCAGCCAACCCATTTTCACTTGCCCAGCATGCAGGAAGAGGGACAGCCACAGACGGTAGAACTGGTCAGGCGCCTCAGGGTTGAGGAAAGGCAGGAGGCCACATACATCGTCCATGCAGTGCACCTGTGGAGAGTGGCCGGTCAGTGCCTGCAGTGGCTGAGGGATGGGGGAGGGAATATGTTCTCAAGGCCTACCTGAGAACACAGTGTGGCCTCCTCATGGAAGTAGCCCCTCATGAAGTCACAGTACTCGCGAGAGGTGATCTCACACCTGGAGGGTCAGGCCAGGGCTTGGAGGGTGCCACCTTGCAGAGGGGGACTGCTGGGGTCCATGGGTAGAGCACCTGCCCATACCACCCAGGCCCAGGTTTCACTCCACCCACCCATCTTTGTTGGCTCTTTTTCACCCCACATCTGCAGGATCTTGGGTTATTTCAGGACTTGGGGAGGAAGAAATGCACAGCCCCATGGCAATGCTCAACCCAGAGACCAACTGCACATGCACACCCACCTGCCCTTGGTGCCAATGCAGCAGGGCCGGCCTGTTATGACACAGTCCATGTGAGGATGGTTGGTGTGGTTCCCAGCACTGTTTTTGGTGCAAATCTGGGTCACAAATAGGGACGAGCAGGTTCAGAACCTCCTCTAACTATTGGCCCCATACCACATTTGGGGTTCGCGGCAAAAACAGAAAGATGTATGGGGTAGAAAACAGGCCTTTGTTGACTAAGCAGACTAACACACCCTGAGCCTTAGCCGAGTCATCTGCCAATCTGGAATAATGTCATTTGGCCTCCCACATCTTCATCTAGTTCCCTTGCTCTGTCTCCTTGCTCAAGAGAGGCAGGCCTTGTTGAACAACAGTCAGGCTGGGCAAAGGCCAGGGTATGGCCTCTGAAAACATGGGATGGTCCCACCATGGCAATCTCTGGCATCACTAGTGGTGGGATATGGGCTCCTTCTCATGACAAGTGTGACTCCCCAGCAGTCCCCCACCTAGCTCACCGGCCACTTGGTGATGTCTTCTGGCCATTCATGGGGGTCCTCAGAGGAGGGCTCATCACACACCCTGCATGAACCCAGATATGGTCAGAGCCTGCTTCGTCACCTGGTATTGACACCCTCCCACCCAAGCCAACACAGAAGCTACCTCCACGACAGGTAAGAGTGCAGAGAACTGACCTGGGGTCCTGGTGGCAGACAGAGCCGAACTGCCTCTTGTGACCAGCAAGGTCCGGGGCGCTGGGATGGATGGGCCACTTCACCCACACTGCCAGCGTGGACTGTGGGGACACAGGATCAGCCCCTGGTCAGAGCCCATCACTTCCCCAGTTCAGTCAGAACAATGTGGAGTCAAAGGCAAAGCCACTGAGCTCCTACCCTCATGAGTTTACTCTAGAAACCACACTGCGCAGGGAGTGACATAATTCCTCTCAGCTTGGAAACAGCCTCTTTCCCGTATTAACTATGCCACCTCCCCATGAGATTATGTGATAAAAGCGTGAACAAGTTTTCTGAAAGTCCAGGGCCTAGTGCAGCAGTCAGAATAAAGGAGAGCCCAAAGGGCCAACACTGCAGACAAGATGAGAACACGGGACACACCGAGCACTCCTCCTCCGAGGTCTGCACACAGCCGGAGCGGTCGTTGCGCACGCAGCAGGCTGAGTGCTTCTCCCGCTCACGTGCGGCGTGGATGAAGCTGTGCACCTGTGGGTCCTGGCGCATGCAGGGCGAGAACTTGGCGCCCAGGTGAATGAGGGCCTCCTGCGGTGAGGGAGACCACAGCTGCGGCCCCAGGCCCCCAGCCTGCTTAGGCATCCCAAGCTCCGCCCCCAGCCCCGCCCTCACCGAGCTGGGGCCGATCCAGAAGTTCTCTTGCTGCACATACTTGACGTTCTCGTAGACGCCACGGTTCCGCAGCACCTGCAAGGTAGAGAGCCGAATTAGACTGGGCCAGAGGGGTCCACAGTCAACTGGCCCCGGGAAGGTGCCAAGGCTCACCGAGTCCACTGTCTCATGCTGCGAGAAGCCCACGGGCGCGATGCCATAGATGCACACGGCTAGAATGGTGACCAGCGAGTGCACGAAGGTGAGCCAGTAGGTGAAGAAGGGCCTGTAGAGCGGAGCATCAGCAGGGCGCATCCCTGCCCATGAACCTGTATCTCAACCCTGAGCCTTGACCAACGCGGAGCACAGCCCCCAGCCTACCTATGGTCGTCCATGTCCTCAATCTGGCGCTTGACATAGCTGTCGATGCGCTTGCGGTAGGTGCGGTTGGTGAGCCGGCCCACCATGCCCAGGCCATACGGCCGCTTCTCTCTGGCGAAGAGCTTGCGCACAGGCACAGCAATGCGTTGGCCCCTCCTGGACCCTGCGGTGCTCACCACCTCCTGTCGAAGCCGCACCTTGGGCTGCGGGGCCAGTTTGCCACCCTCCTTCTGCTTCCGCCAGCCTCGCTCTAAGGGCCTGAAGAGAGCCAAGCCAGCATATTCTCCTCCTGCCCACAATCCCCACCTGCTGCCATCCCTCCTGGGTGGAAACAGTGCTAGTCAGTCTCTCTCCTGCCCATGGCTATCCATGAAGAGATAGGGCAAGTCATTCAGTCCCAGCCTCTTCTTTACTAACCCCACGTTCCTCCCTGGATAGCATGGAGGGAACTTAGACCCATAGAGATTCTGGACCTCAGCAACATTGAGTAGGTCAGCTCCTCCCAGCCTCTGGGATCTAGGATTTCCCCAGGGGAGCAGAGAGACTAGGAGAGTGCCTAGCCCTGGACCCTCCATCCATAGTGAGCAGGCCAGGTTCCAGGCCATTAGGCAACCACTACAGGCTGTGAATGCTGGAGCATCTCACCCAAAGGTCCCTGCGGACCTCTCCCCATTGCTGCACTCACAGCATCAAGTGACTTCGTTCAAGCTCAGTGCGGTCCAGGGCCCCGCCAGTGAGGTCTGCCTGCTCTGGGGCTTTCTCCCAGTCCTTGAGTGCTGCCTCTGAAGGGGACTCAAACACTTCATCTGGGTACGTGGACAGCTCTTCATGGAGGACACCTTCCTGAGCAAACACATGAGGTCAGGGTGGATGCAGATAGGGGAGATGGGGTGATATCCCTGGCTCTTCTTACCCGGGCAAAGAAGGACGTGTCCAGCTCATCAGGGAAGTCCACTGTGTCCTCCTCCAGGAAACTGGCAGGAGTGAAGCTCCGACGCTGGGCCCGGCGCAATGTGCCATCCCTAACCGAGCGGCCCTAAGGGCGGCAAGGTGACCGTGGGACAAGGAAGCCAGCTCGCCCCCCCCCACCCCGCCACACCTCCACCCTTGGACCCCGCACCCACCTTCACTAGTGCTGCAGCTGCCCGGAAGCTCATCTTGGCCACAGACTCGCGCTTGCGTCGCCGAGGGAGCCGATTGAAACCTGAGCGAGAGCTGGAGAAGGAGCAGAGGGAGGCAGCACCTGGCGTGATGGGAGTGTGCGGGGCGCTCAGCCCATCAGCAGTGTCATCGGCCATGCGGAAAGCCCGGCCTCGGGCCAGAGGGTCTATGATCTGGTGGAGGCCAGGAGATGCTGGATCAGTGCCATGGAACGCCAAGCACCCCACAAAAGTGAGCCTTGTATGGAGAGCTAACTGGCCTTCTCACTCCTCACAGGCTCTGGACAGCCAGGTTGGCATCACCTGCACTCACAACATCTACAGGCTCTGTTTCTCTCTCCCGGCACTGTTTGTCCAGCTAGGATGCTCTCCTACAAGATGCTGGCCCCTGGTGCAATCCCATGACCCTTTCCCCCTCCCAAGTTCCCTCCTGGGAGTATCTTAGGTGATTTCATGGGTCTGACTGCCTTCCCAACCATAAGCACCCAAGAACCCTCTCTGCTCAGATTGGCTACGTCCCCAGCCCACCCCCAAAGTGAAGAGGTCAAGTAGAATGAGGGGCCTATAGGAGGCAGCAGCAGCAGGCACACCTTCTGCATGCCCAGTTGGCATGGCCCCACATACAGTGGGGGCGGTGTCTCGGTGCTGGTCAGTGACACATTGTCCTGGCTGGGCAGGTCCAGCTCCCGGATGACCTGGGGTTTCAGCTTCCCATACCGTTGGCTGCAGTGACGGATGCTTTTGCGCTGCCACTTCTGGGTGCTGTCACTGTCCTTGCTCACTCCAAACCAGTCAGCTGTCCCCCTAGCATAGGAGGGACTCAGCAAGGGGCAGGTAAATCTCCCTGCCTCCCAGGCAAGAGGCCTCAGAGGCCAATCTCTTGGCAGCATGCCCTGTCCCAGGCCTCCAGCCACTTCAGGGCTGGAGTCTGCCCAGACAGAACCTAATTAAAAAGATGAGTGAATTCCAGTCCTAGCTACCCCTAAATACCTTGCTGACCCCCAATTCCCACTAGAGCATTCTGAAGGTCTCGCCCAGTGGAATGTTTCACATAGCCCCTCATCCTCCCTGTGTCAAGAAAGAGAGTTCAGTCCAACAGCAGCTGCCACCTAAGACACCACAGAGCTCAGACTGTAGGAGCTGCAGGTCCAGGCAGGCTGCCCACAGTCCTCAAACATGCAAACAAAAATACTGCCAGCATCTGCCATCAGGAGGCCCGAGGAATGCCAGCCATTCATGCTAAGTAACATGCACACACCAGAAAACACCAACACACTTGTGACCATCCTAAGGTACCTGAGCAGGGACCAAGAAAGAGACTGATGCTGTGGGGAGACCCTGCGAGCAGCCTGGGGACCCAGGAGGGGCAAAGTATGGACACGCCCAAAGCGCACCTGTCGACTGTGAGGGGTCAGAGCATTAGGGATGGGGAGAGAGGGGAGGCAAAGAGGGTAGGAGGGTGCAAGCAGTCCGTTCCCAGAACCGGCGGACAGGGTGATGTAGGGACCAAGATGGAGGAGAGAACTAATTCAAGAGGGGCCCCTGCCCATTCCCAGCCCTGCAGGCCTGCCTGTGAACCCCCCAGCCCCAGCCCCCTGGCCCATGGAGCAGCCAGGGTCACACAGTACCTGCGGATGGTCTGTGTGATGGAAGTCTGGCGCTGCAGCACAGGCCGCCGAGGCTCATGGTGCGGGGAAGGGACACGCACTGTCTCAGCTGGCATACTCACACTCCGCAGGAAAGCCTGGCGCCTCAGGGGCTGGGCAAGGGGGTCATGGTGAGGAGCCTGGACAGAGCACACCCACAGTCCCCACTGGCCAGGGCCTGCCTACCTGCAGGAAACTGGGCTCCTCCGTTGCCGGGGGCACCACAGCCGGGATGTCCAGCTTTAGCCAGGGTGGTTTCTTACGCTGCAGACTGCTGGTACTATCCCTACGGGCCTCACTCATGGCTCCAGGTAGAGTGAGGCAGACCTGAGGGTGAGGGGAGCTGTTCAGAAATGACGCTGACAAGTCTGAATACACAGCAAGTCCAGACTGGGAGGAGGGAGAAGTAGAGGTTAGTCCAACAGTGGTGCTCACAGATCCCACTGTCAGAGCCCTACTGTGTGCTCAGCACTGACATGCCTTGCTCCTCCCCAGACAGATCCTCAAACAATACACAGTAAACCCTTGGTATCTGTGGGGCTGTGGTTCCAAGGGGACCACCGTGCATCTCAGTATGCCTAGAGTCCAGTGCTGTACTGCAGGACCTATTTCTCCCATAACACCGCCCAACTTCCACTAAAGACATGCTGCCTTCCAACAAGTCTAAAACTTTCACTGTATCGCTTAAATTAAGTGCATTAACTTTTACCTTGCTTTTGGGGTACCATGTGCTTTGGGGAAGACATTTTCACAAAATGAGAGGCACAGAAGCATTCAGCAGTTCACACAAGAATTTAAACACAACTAAAGATAACACAGGACTGAGACCTTTTCCACATCCACTGAGCTACAGAACACATACACAAGAATTTAAATTTTTTGTTTTTGAAATTTCCTTTGACTTTTTTTTTTTTCCTTTTGGTGGGACTGGGATTTGAACGCACAGATTCAAGCTTGCAAAGCCGGCATTCTGCCACTTGATCCACACCTCCAGTTCATTTTGCTCTGGTTATTTTGGAGATGTGGTCTCACAAAGTATTTGTCCAGGCTGGCCTCAAACCACAATCCTCCCAATCTCAATCTCCTGAGTAATTCGGATTACAGGTATGAGCCATCAGTGCACAGCTTGGTATCTTTTTTATTTATTTTTTTACCACACTTGGTCAAAACCACATGCAATACATCCATGAATAAGGCAAGCTTACTGTAAGTCCATGGGACAATGCTTTGAGCACCTACCACCAGCAAAACACTTGGAGGTGCTTGGCACACACTGTGGAGAAACAAAACAAAATCTTTGCCCTCTGAAGTTTAGAGTCTAAGGTAACAATAACCCTGCAAATAAGTAAATGCACTGTGCTAAGAGATGCTCAATATGATGAGGAAAAAAACACAGCAAATTACAGTTGCTTGGTGGGGAACAGTGAGGTCTCCCTGTGACAGGACAGCTGAGCGGAGGTTTCACACAGGGGGTGCTGAGCACAGCTGGGTGAGGGCCGCACATGCAGAACTGCGCATGGAAGAGTGAGGTCTGCAGAGCATTGGGCTCCAGCCAGTCTGTCCCACACCTCACCCTCTTAACACCATGACTTCCACTCCAGAGGTAGAGGCCCACTACACACACAATAGGCTGTATATAGGTCAGGATCCCTCGCACAGAGGAGTCCCAAATCCAGAGACAGATGTGGCTTCTCAGGATGGCAGAGCAGTAGCTGGGGTACAAGTTTCCCTTGTATAAGGACTTTCCAAAAACCTCCTGGGAGCAGAAACCACAATGTCCAACAGGTGGTGCCACGCACCAAAAAAAGCAGCAGTAAGGACCGATGGGGATGCATTTCTGGCACCACCCTGTGCATCTGAGACCCCAATCTTACCACATGGGCACAGAGAAGAACCCAGAGCAGAAACACCAAGATTCGATCTGGGCCACCACTGCCATGTGACTACTGAGACAAGTCCTGGCCTCCTTAGAAATCATCCCCACCCCCCACCTCCAACAATGACTGTTGTGGCAGATCTGCACCCCTGCTCCCAAGGACCACAAGGGTCTGGAGAATGGAGGTTCACTGAGCACAAGGGGACACAGATGGGGGCTTTCTCAAGTAACCCTAACTTGGAGGGCAAAAAAATTCAAAATTTTTCAGCCTCTTCAACACATGCAGACCCCAACAGGTTCTGAGCTGCTGGGCATGTAAACCCAGCCACTGATGTCCCCTGAAATGGCTTCCAGCTTGGGAGTTTCTCTCTTTACAGCTTGGAGGAGATAGAGAAATCACACCCTCATTGCATCAATAGGGAAACTGAGGCCTCAAGAACAGAAACTTGCCTTGCTAAAGGTCACATTCAAGGCAGTATAACTAGGGACAGGCCAGGATGTATTCAGGAGTCCTTCTGGCCCTACACTGTCCTCCATTATAGGTCCTATGGGCCCTACACAACCAGGTATGGCCCTGGATGTTGCTGATGACTCCAGATGGCCCCACACTGATCATGTACAGGACAGTGGGAGGGAGTCCTTCAGGAATGCACCTGCACCTAACTCCAACTTTAACCCTCACATTTCAACCCCTTCTCTGAGATGCCCTTCAGGTCTCAGGTAGTAGCTGGGGGGCAAAGCTTGAGGGAACTTCCAGGTATGGTCCCCTGGCCTATCTTAGGGTCACAGGATGAGGACAGCATCTGTCTCCATGTCATGGGGTCCCTGCCCATGATAAGCCTGGTGTTGGAGAGAACAGAGTCTGACATGAAGGCATCTTAACTGGGAAGTGGTGGGGCAAGGTCTCACTAAGAGGTAAACCACAACAGACCTCAGCACCTTATGCTATCACATGTCCAGCCTAGACTGGGGTGCCAGGCATCGACTAGGCCCTGGTCTGCTCCTGTGGGTGGATGTTTTCCTTGTCATCTCCCAACTCCTCTGTCAGGGATCATATGGACTGTAATAAGGTCGCCCTGCTGGTGAGAGAATAGCTGAGTGCCAACTCTGGGTCTCAGATAGTAGTGGCAGAATCTGAGACAGTACCAGGTGTGGGGGGTGGCAGTGGGGCTCAACAAGGGGCTACTGAACCCATGGTGCTAGAGAGCACCTCCCAGCCAGTCAGGTCAGGCTTGGGGACCAGTCTGCTCCCCAAGATTATGCTATGCCTGGGGGGCCAAGTAGGGTAAGAGACCAGGCACTAGACAGGATGGAAATCCCTCAGCATTCCAGGCAGGGGAATGAGTGGCCTCCTGAGGGGCCACTCAAGCCCAGCCACATACCAGTCACATGACTTATCTGGCTTCAGTGTTCTTGCCTGGTGGCCAATGCTGCTGGTGAGGTTATTATGAGGTCCAGTGGATGCAGGGGCCACTGCTGGGGACCACCTGGTGAGTGCTGGGGACTGGCCTCTCCAGGGACATGGCAACCTATGTCCAGCATTTGTAGTGGCAGCCAGCTAGTTGGTGCCTTACTCAAGAGTGCAAGCAACCTTTGCAGGCTGATTCACACATCCATGACCCTCTGTAGCTCCCACTTGCACATCACAGCCAGTCTTCACACCTGGTGTCCTCCCATCTCACAGTCCTGCACATATATTCTGCCCAACCTCCATGTGTTCAAGGACCTGCAACCTAAATCAGGCTATCTATCCCCAACAGGCACTCCCTTGCCTGAGCACAGGTTGCCAGGAGCCAGTCCCCAGGAGCATGTGTGGGATTCCTGAAAGAAGTAAACTGACCCCTCAACTGGGCTTTGGAGGAAAAGGTGGCCAGCACGAGTGGTAGCAGGAACAGCACAAGCTAAGGAGGAGGAAGGGTGAGTTGTGAGTATACACAGGGAACCAGACCAACACCCACAACCCCGCTTCAACTGAACCCACAGCTAGCCCCAGGGAGCACCAGAGCTATGGGGCACACAATGGATGCCCCAGCCCTTACCAAGTGTCCTGGGGCCCCCCTCTACCAAACCCCTCCTAGCAGGGGTGGAGAAAGGAAGGGGCACAAGAAAACCCACATTGCTCTAGATCCAATAGGCAGGGACAGGAAACCCAGCCTGCCTTTGGTGCTGTGTCTGCAGCCTGCCCCACCGTGTGCCCCCTTCCTTATCTGGGCCTCAAGTGAGTGGGATTCACAAGGCAAGGGGGAAGGGCAATCCCAGGCTGGACAAAGCGTCTAGGCCAAGGAGCAGCACACTGCCTGTCCACAGTGGCTCTGTATGCAGGCCTCCCCCAGACACACAGTGGGCTCTTGTTCCCTGACAGCCCTAGGACTCTCCCTTCTGCTGGCCCCTCGGTGTAGGGGGAAACCATGGCTCACAGAAGGCCCATGGAGGGCCTGCCTGTCTGGGGTCACACAGCATGAGTCACTCCAGCAGCATCAGGAGCCACCCAAATCGGCATCTAGCGTGAAGTGGGAGTGCTAGGGAGCAAATCCAAGGGTAGGACTCAGTCAGGAGGGGACACAAAACAGTGGTGCCATGCTAGCACTCAGGCAAGACCCCAATGAGGCTGGGGGGCAAAGAGGGCCAGGGAGCCACTAAGGCTGGTCTTATAGGAGTACACTCTGGAGAATGGTGTGTAGGGGTAGGAGCAGCTGCCACTGTCAGCAGAGAGACTTGGTAGGGGACAAGGAAATAGTCCTGCTGACTCAGATTCTACTCTTAGCCAACTGGGGACCCTTCAGGCTGTCCCCATCCATGGGTAAAGGAAGAATCAGGAAGCAAAAGGACCCAGTGTGGAGAGCCTGAGCCAAGACACTGTGCCCACACCCTGTGTCTCTACCACCTACCACCCTGAACAGGCCTCAGTTTTCCATCTGAAATGACAGCATCTGGCACACAGTAAGTGGCAGCTGACTCAATAACAGAAAGGGTGGGACCGGAGGTGTGGCCCAAGCAGTAGAGCACCTGCTTTGTTAGCAAAAAGCCCTGAGTTCAAACCCACTTTAAAAAAAAAAAAAAAGAAAAGAAAAGAAAGGGTGGCACTGCCTGGAGGCAGACAGGAGCTTTCTGAGGGGTCAGGGGAGAGAAGCTAAAGCTGCAGGTGGGAGCTAAGGGAGTGAGAAGGCCCCAGAGCATGTGCAATGAGAGGCAAGTCATGGGGTACCTCACAACTGGACCCTTCAAAGGTGTTGAGTTGGGGAAGGTGCATCCACGAGGCATCAGAAGACTTGAGGACACGGTGACCACTGCCAACATGAAACTGCATCCTCATGTGCAAGCCACAATCACCACTGTACTCCACCAGATTCCCATTCACACCCTAGTCTATGACCCTCGGTCTTTTTTCCCAGTCTGATGGCCTGCCCCAGATTCCCCTCCTCCCAGGAAGAGGGGACCACCTACTCTCTGTCATCTAGATCCTAGTCCTTCACACATGCTGCTATGGCCTCTTTCCTCATCTATAGATGGTACCAGGCAGAGAATGTCTGCTTAGACCCTTTGCAAAACACAAGACACCCTTCAACCTTCACAGTGGCACCTCCATCTTTCTGTGGGAAAAACAAGTTTCAGTGTGGAACAGGGCAGGCCTGAAATCAAGCCTGTGGCCCTCATGGTGCCCTGTCCCTTTTCCCCAGGAGGACACACCAGATGCCTACCTTCCCATGTCCCCATCACCTGCCATCAACCCCAGAGAAGCATGTGAACGGCCAGCAACAAAGGGTTTCCTGCTGCAGTCTGTGAGGGAAGTGGCTGAGGCCCTGGAGGCACAGGATTCCACGCCAATGATTCCCTAGGCTCTGACATGGGAAGGCAGTGCACAAGGGAGATGGGCCAGCCCAATTGAGGGGCACTGCCCTATTGCTCAGCCAGCACAGTGGCTCAGGGGTTACCAATTGCCAGAGTCAAAGCTCCTGACCCAGTTGGGGAGACAGGACAGACACACCTGAGGATCATGGAGTCCCAAGGCTCAGAGAGATCAGGGGACGTGTCCAGGCCACCAAGTCAGAAAGAGGGTGGGGCAAGGACTTAGCTGTTCCAGATTCTGGGTGTAACTTGCCTGTTAAACTGGACACCTCTGGCCCCCAATCTGCAGCCCAACCAAATCCTAGGAGTTAACTGACAACATGCTTCCCGAGCTGGCAGGGGAAATGCACACATGCCTGGTGACTTCAAAGGAGCAGCCCAGAGTTCCCAGAAGTACCCCTAACTGATCCCACACATTGCTCTCAGGTGCCCAGGCATCCTTGGGCCTAGCAACCACTCCCAGGACCTACCAGAAGCAGAATAAGGCTGGACAGACGCCAAAAGGGTAAACTAAGTCAGCAAAAACAGCTTAGGTCACCAAGACTCAGCACACCTGCTCTCAAACCTGATCCTAGATGGGTGTGGTGATACCCATCTGTAATCCCAGCACTCAGGAGAATCTTGAGTTCCAGGCCAGCCTGAGCTACATATAAGACCCTGTCTTAAAACACAAACCAAAAAACCTGACCCTAACTGACCCTACTGAGTTGTTCTAACCCCTGAAAGGGGTCCTTTGTGTCCATCTTAGAGATTAACTGAGACTCAGAGAGGTCAGTTACTGCCTAAGATCACAGAGCCTCAAGGGAGTTCAGCACCTTGGCCAGGTTGGCCAGGCCCAGCGGGACCTGGCGTGGAAGAGACCTCATTGGCCTCATTGGGAGAGACCTGCAGCAGAGCACCTGGGTTCTTTAACCCAGGGACTATGGAGGGTTCTCAGATCCTCTGGCCCACACATTCCCAAGGGCATCTCAGCTCAGAGAGGAGAATTCACCCATAAGCACATTTGACCCAGAAAACAGACAGAAGCCAAGGAGGCTGATCCTGGGGCAGCCACTGAGATGGGAGAACTGCAGCAGATGTGGAGAGGCGTTCAATACAGGGAGGGGCTGAAGCCTCTTGAGAATGATTGACAGTGCCCTGAGCCAGCAGCCAGAGGGCCCTGAAAAGGGAGACCTGGAGGGTTCCCCTAGAAGGCCAGCTCCCCAGGGTGAGCATCTGGCTGACTGGTTCAGTGTGCTGGCCTCCCATACAGCCTGTGCCCGGGAGGCTGGCTAACCATGCCCTGAAGGATGCATGGAGGGCCTGGCAAGGAGTCCAAAGGCCAGTGCCTTGGATCTAGGCCCACCAAACCAACTTGCCTTTGCCCCATTCCCCAGTAAATGACCCAGCTTGCTCATAATGACCCTGGTGGCAGGGTCTCAGATTCAGGAACTCCTTGAGTCTCAGCCAGCTGTTCTCCCAGCCTTAGGGTGCCGACTAGGGGGCTGGGGCTGGGGCTGGCTCCAAGGAGGTGGGAAGAACCCAGCCTGGGACTGCCCAGTTTTCAAGCTGAGCTAAACCAGAAAAGCCAGTTTCATCCTTGAATCTTCTCCCGGCTCCAACAGGAAGTGGGGTGGGGGGGGTTTCCCAGCATAGGGTTAGGGCCTCCAGACCCAGACCCCGCCCACCCAGACAGACACATAGACACTCTAACCCAAGCTGCACACCAAGAAAGAACTCGGTCAGGACCATCTGGACTGAGGACAGCCCTGGGTGGGGGGATCCCCCTGCCCGTCCCCCACCCAGCTCCACAAACATCCTCCCAGCAGGACAGACAGGCCCTGAGCACCTGGGGTCCGGCTGCCACCCTGCCGCGCAAAGGCCTGCTTCAAGGTCCCAGCTCAGGCCTCAGGCTCCCTACCAGCCCCTCTGGGCCATCGCACTGGGCGGTACTGGCCCCCGGAGTTCCAGTGTTTACAGACGGGGCGACCGGGCCGGGGAGCAGGAGGGCCAGCCCCCGGCGAGCTGCTGCTGTTACTCCCATTCGCGGCGGGGACGCCGGGCAGCGATGGCCCAGAGAAGTCCCACCCTCGGCTGGAGTTTCCGACACCGCCCTCCAAGGGTGGCCGGGAAGGAGGCGCAGGGGCCGCTCGGCGGGGCTGGGGCTCAGGACCTCAGCTGTCCGGCCGCTCCGGCCGCCGGACGTGCTAATCCGGCCACGGGCTATTTTTGCGCGCGCCGCTTTAGGAATCCCGGTCTGGGTCGCCTCCGCGGGCGCCCGAGAAACTCCGCGAAGAAAGTCCGGCCGCCCGGATCCCGACCGGACCCCGGACCCGCGCTGGCCGGGAGCGCCGGACACGCCGCGTCGGAAGACTCGGCCCCGAAGCCCGCCCGAGTCCCGCGCCCACGCCCAGCCGCCACTCACCGCCGCCGCCGCCTGCGGTCCTCGGAGGGGCGTCCGGAGGGGTCGCCAGGGGCCGCCGCCGCTGGCCGGGAGGGCGCCCGCGCCGAGTCCCTGGCCGCGCCCGCCCGCGCGCCGGCCCGGCCCGCCCGCCCGGGAATGCCATGGAGCGAGGGGCGTGCGTGCCGGGGGCGGGCCCGGCCGAGGGGCGGTCGCCTGACTCAGGGCTCAGGAATGCGCGCCGCCCGCCGCCCGGCTGGGGGCGCCTCCTCCAGGAAGGCTGCCTGCTGTGCTGTCCCCAGCGACGCCGGCCCAGGCACCTGTGGCCCGGGCTGGTTCGCCTTGACCAGAGAGTGAGGGCATCAGGGAACCCGGTGGGCAACTGCAGTCCTGGGTTCCTCAACCTCTCTGCCTTGCCCGCCTGGGTCTGTGCTTGAGAGGAGTGGGGGTGGACAGTGGTAGAGGAGGGTAGGTCTCCTCAAAATCGGGCGGTAAGCTCCCTCCAAAGGCCCGCAGTGACAAGCCCTTATCCCGCACTCACTGACTTCTGCGCACACATGCAGGCGCACACTTCCGATCACTTAAACGAGTGCTCATGCATTCATTCTCCTCACACACGTGTTGGCAGACTCCCATGCACACCTACTCAGGTACACACTTGCATACCGCTAACACATTTACACTCGTGCACACTCACTCACTAACGTGTTTGCACACTTCATATCCATGTCAGCAAGTACCCCTTCCCTGGGCCCCATCCATCCCTGCTCACACCTGCTCCTCCTGAACCCACTGAGCATAGTGGAGTCCTGTTCCTAGTGTCCACTGTCTGCCCGTCCCTCGTCACCCCTAGTGGGCTCATCCGGAGTTGGACACAAAATGGCCCATCTACCTTCAATTGAGGGTGCTGGTGGGGACTGCCCAGCATTCCTGTCTCCTGATGCTAGGTGTCACCAGCAGGGCTGTCCAGGTGTTGTGAGATCTCAGTGGGGGGACTCAGGCTTCCTCTAGGTGGTGGCTCTTGGGGTCTCCCTTCTTCCCATGAGTCACTCAGGCATCAGAAGACCCACAAATGAGTCCTCAGGCCCTGTGCTAGTCACAACGCTCATCACATCCTCAGGGCACCTGACCTCTCAGAACTGAGTTGCTGCTATCAAAGGTCAGCAAGTTGCATCCAGAGCCCAAGTCCATGGTCTGAAAATAAACTTCCACTAAAGATGGCAGCGGTAGGTTCCAGAGCCTGAGGCAGGGACACAATCCTGCACCATACCCTAGGACGGGGGGTGCCTGCACATAGTGGGCCTCCTATGAACACCAGCAATATCAACACAATTCTTACATAGAGGGAGAGGATGGAAGGTGGACTGGATCTCCTTCACTGGGACAAGAGAGGAGGCTGCTTGTATTCCAGGGACCTAAAGTGACCGGAAGTCTGCCCTGGTGGAGATGCTCAGAGCGCCTGTAACCCTCCTGTGCCCTCCCTCCTCCTGTGCCAGTCCCACAGATGGAACAGTCTCCATGCCTAGCATTCTTGACCCCTGCCAGGGCTAAGCAGGGCCCGGATGCTCAGACTGGGCTGGCTAGGCCAGCAGTGGTGTCCTTTCTGGAAAGACAGGGGCACGCCACAGCTGAGTATCTGGTGTCTGTGGGTCCCCCTCCTGCAATAATGCTGTAGGGTGCCACCCAGACCTACTCTGAGACCTAGAGACTCATCCCCAGCTGCCAGGAGCACCAGCTACATCTGGCTCACAGCTGAGACACACCCTGCCCAGGGCCCTGCAGTTCCCAAACTCTTCAGCTGCGGCCCTCCTGCAAACCCTGCTCTCTTGCCCCTTATATGTGTTGCTCCCAAGAGAAAGCTCCCTGTAGGCAAATCCCCATCTCAGTGTCTGCATGCAGGAATCCTTAGGCTCAGCCCAGCCTGGTCTCCTTGAATAAGCACATCAGGACATTGTGAGCTGAAGAGGGTGAACACACATGTGATCAGGCCTGTACCCTGTCCACATGGACACATACACACATGTGCTCTGCCTCATGCCTACCCTAGTGACCTGGTGGAGCACAACTCATTTGCCACGGAGAAATGAAAATCAGCTGCAATTGCTAACACACCTGGAGCTGGTGGGCAGGTGTCTGGGGAAGGGCAAGCACTACTTCTACATCTTGTGGACTTCACTCCAGGGCATCAGAGGGTGGAAGCCCTGACCAGTAAGAGGACTCCCTACAGCTCTCCTGGGATCCTCATCTCAGTTTCCAAGCCCCTGGGCTCCACAAGCACCTTGAATAGATCAAAAGAAACTGCCCATACCTGGGGAGCAGAAATCCGGGGATGGGCCCAGGACCAGCCACTGACTATTTGGGGAGCAGGTGGAGGAAACCAGGGGAGCCAGAGACCTGATGTCACCCAGCTAGTTGGGGCAGCTGCCCCCACCCCATGGCCCTGGACTTGGCAAAGGGATTATCTCAGCTCCTGAGCCCAGGCCCTAGTGGCCTAGGCACCATGGCTCCCTGAAGGAAGGATGCAATCCACACCTCCCCTTGGCCTGTCTAGAGGCTGCCATAGACAGTAGCTGACCTGACCCTGTTGTCCCCGGAAGCCCAGGTGACATAGAGGCCAGTCGGGGCGGGGCAGCCAACTCTACTGCGACCTGATGGATGGGCGCTAGTGTGTAACTAGCTCCTGCTTCTGTAGCTGCTAGCTTCTGTAGCTGTTAGAGAGGAGCCTGAGCCTCGCGCTGGGCCCCTGGAACACTGAAGCCAATGCAGGAACCCTGGTCTCTAAGGCCTTCAGAGCCAAGAGGGACTGACAGCCACACCCCCATGGCTAGAAGCAGCTCCAATCCTCCAGTCTGTGGTGGCACAGAGCAGCTCACCCCAGTGCTGACCCCAGCCTTGATCCCTTTGGCAGCATCTCCACTGGCATCTTTGCCTCCCCCAATAAGCCTCCAGCCAGCCAGCAGCAAGGCGCACTGGGGACAAAGGAAGGCCCAGGCCCCTTCCTCTCCTGGTACCACCTTCTCCTGGCCTTGGTCAGCCTGCATGCAGACCACAGTGGGAAAGCCCAGCCCACCACTTCCAGCCTGCAGTGGGAGCCTCACACCACAAACCAGGAAGTGGGGGTGGGGAGCCAGAGATTGTGCAATCCCCTCACACTCAGGCCAGAACATCTGGAGAATGGGATGCTGACAAGAGGCCCACCTCCTCCTGGGGCAGAGGCCAGACTGCCCACGAAATACAAGAGATCACCGTTCATCCAACAGTGGGGATGAGACAGGCTCCAGGAGCGTCCTTCTGCCTTCATCAGGAGACACGGATCCAACTGGGGCCTCAGTTTCCCTCCTAGATTAGGAGGGGTAAGGGGGCTGTTCCACAGGAAGGGGTAAGTCATTGTTTGGGCGGAATAGCTGCGGGATAAGGAGGGAGGAGGTGGGAGTCACAGCTAAGCCTGCCTCATTAGCTCGGATTTATGACACATTGTCCCCCCCACTCCACCCCCCGGAAGCCGCACACAGTGCCACAAACAGCTGGGTGGCTTCCAGCAGGCAGTGGGAGGAGACTGCCCCTCCCTCCCCAGGAAGTCCTGGTTGGGGCCCATGGGGGTGGGATGGCTGAGCTCCAGCCTGGGCCACAGTTCAGCCCCCAAGCTGGTCAGCAAAGAAGCAGTTAGAGAACAGGGTCTCCCTGCTGTCCTTCCGTGAGATCAGCTACCTAGTTCACCTGAGGGTCATAGACACATGGCCTGTCCCTGTCCTGCCCACAGATGCTCATCCAGTTGCTCTCTCTCTGACCTCTTTCCCAGGGCCAGGGTCAAAGAAATCAAGACAGGTCAGGCAAACCCAAGGGTTTTTTAAAGGAGTGTGGGGGGCTGTGGGTTGTGGGGGTGAGACTGCATGCAAAGAGGCCCTGCAGACATATACCAACTCTGGAACAGCAGAATCGGGTGGAATGGCTCTGCTGAGTGTGGGGGCTGCCGCTGCCCTTGCCCTTGCAGCCCCCTCCATCTGGGCCAAGGCATCGCTCCCCCCAGACGCCCCTCCCCTCCCTGTGGACACTGATAGGACCTGAGAGGTTACAGGAGGGTAGGACAGCAGGCATGGGATCTGGGGGAGGGGGCATCACAGGTGCAGCTCCAGCTGGGTGTTTCCGGGTCCCCAAAGCCCTAGTCCTGGCCTCAACCTCTTGAGGATGACCAGCTGCAGCGGGTCCCACCCAGGGCGTGGGCACTCCTCGCAGCATCTGTGGGCAGCAATGGGTGGAGGCTCCACTGCAAGAGGCAGAATCCCTGCTGCTCCCCCTTTCCTTCCTCGGACCGGCTATGATGACCCCGGCCCGGGCGTGGGGGGCGGCTCCGGACAGGCCAGGCGTCCACTTCCTGCCCATCCCGCCATTCCAGCCTGCACTCTCCATCCAACGCCCCGTTGTCGGGGAAGACGAGTCCCAGGACCAAGGCTCGGCCCCAAGCCCTATGCGCGCTTCTCCACAGCGCCTACTGCCCCAGCTATGCCCAGCCCTCCGCGAGGCAGGACCTCCGGCAGGGCCCCTCGAGGGTTCAGCTCATGTGTCTGTCCGATCACGGAGATGGGTGGGCGCTGCGGCCAGGGTCAGTGAGGCAGGGGTCCGGGGCGGGAAGGAGCTGTCGCCGGAAACTAGGAGTCAGAGCCCCGCCCTTCTCCAGCGCCCCTCCCCCCGCCCCAGCCGGGTCTCCGCGCCTTTCGCGCAGGCGCAGGCTCTGCCCCGCCCACCCTGGCATTTCCGGTGGGTGCGCGGGGTCCGAGCGGCAGAATGCGCGCGCGCGTCGGGACCCAGGTGAGTGCGCCGTCGGGCAGCGGCCCAGTCCGAGTTCCGGGAAAACCCGTGACCGTGACCGCGTCCGACTGGCCTCGGTTCTCCGGCCGAATCCTCCGCCAGGGGGGCGCCAGGGCAGAGCTGCGAGTGACCGGCGGCAGCGGGGCCGGCCAGGGGCCAAACTGGGTGAGAGGGGCCGCAGCGTCACGGAGTCTGAGCCCATGGCGACCTGGCACAGTGGGCCGGCTGCAGAGACGCTCACGTCAGCGTCCATTCCCGGCGGCTGCTGATATCGGCCCGACATGGACGTCAGCACTCATGTTAAAAATAATGGCCAGGGGCCTTGGGTAATGCTGAAGACCTGCAACTGGGAGGGCGCGTCCAGGCCCTACGTTCTCGTGTCCCCTTCATTTCTCCCTTCTGTTAGCCCCAGAACTGCTGAGGATGTGCTCAGGTTTCCCTGGCTACGTGGTGGCTGACAGGAATGACGCCTGCTGTGTCTCAGCGACCCTCCCTCAGGAGACCTCTTGCCCCACTTGCTGGTTATGCTGATATTCTGGGCAATAAGGCAGAGGGCAGCTGAGGACACGCGGGGACCATGCCCTGAGCACCTGGAACTGGGCCAGGCAGGTGCTCAGCCCCATGTTCAACCACCTGTGTGTGTCTGACCTCTGGCCCATTCCCAGGTGTTTGGCACAATGGGAGCCCTGAGACCTATCAACTGAGCCAGGAGGAACCCAGTCTGTTGCTCTGCCTAGGTCCTGGCTGTGGTTTAAAATTCCTAGCCAGGATTGGGTGCAAAGCAGGGTTTCAGAAACAAGATTCCTTGGGGTCCATGTGATGGGTGGTGATCAGAAGGTCCTAGCTGTCCTGTCCCAGGCACCTTGGGCCCTGGAGCTGTGTATCTTCTATGTGTGTAGGGCATGTGGGACACAGTAGCCAGTCTGCCACCACCAGCAGCCCATCACCTGCATCAAGGCCCCTGAGGCTGCACGTGTCAAGTGTGCACAACCCACAACATGGGCACCCCTTTTAAAGGTGGTGAAACCAAGGCAAGCAGGTCTGTTTTCTTGAACTCCCTTAGCCTCACTTCACCACAGAACTGTCCACTCCCATCTACTCAGAGGCTTCATTTTGTTTTTTCCCATTTCAGCTTTCCCGAAAGATGGGGCAAAAAAAGCAGCGACTGGCAGAGGCAGAAGGGCAGCAGAACCCACCAGACACAGCCCAGACATCTTCTCCTAAGGAGCCCCGCTTGGGAACACCTCAACCCTGGGCCTCCAACGCAGCATCTATTTCTCTAGCCCAAAGGACCATCCTGTCCGGCTGGGGCCAGAGTTTTTTGACCAGCCAGCAGTCCCCCTAGCCCGGGCATTTCTGGGACAGGTAATGTTAGTAGTGAGGTGGCCTTTGCTGAAGAGCTCATCATTGTGCAGGTGCCATGGGCCCAAGCATCACAAGTTCACATCCCTGAGTTGGTCCTGGTTAGCCCTCCTTGTGTTCACACAGGGAGTTGCTTTGCCACACAGGTCTCTGGGTAATTTGGTCTCAGTTATCTGGGATCACTGGAAAGAAGATCACTAGTGCTGTTTACCCTAGGCAGAGGCTGTTGTGCCACCACAACTGTCTGCTCTGGCAGTAACAGAAGCAGCTGCATTACTAGCCTTCCTCACTTGGGAATCCCTGTTTCACCTAGCATTCTCCTCAGAACAGGTTACTTGCAAAGACTATGAACAGTCCATATGGCATCTGTGAAGAGCCACCTTTACCCACCCTGTCCCCTGACAGTTCTCTAGCTGAGGCTTGTCTGTATCATTGGTGACAATTTTAGACACATGGGAATGTGTATCTGTGGCCACCATTAGACCGCCAGCATCAGAATCACTTGAGGCCATTGCTGCCCTACTGCATGGTTCATTGTCAGTGCTGGCTTCTCAGAAGCCCCTGAGGCTCAATGTAGGACCTGGGCTTTGCCAGGCAGACCTGGAATGGGTTCAACCTGGTGTGGCCTGCAGTGCAGCCTGTCACCATGTGTGCAAAACAGAGTGGGCTGCTCCATCTGGAGAAACATTGATGTCAAAGCCCAAGTCTGACCTGGTTCTCTTAGGGGTGCCCTGATTCACCTTTGTCCATTAACAAGCACACTTTTAGGCTAACATGGCCAAGGAGAGCCAGTTTCTGTGACAAATAGGAAAACCGGTGCCAAGAATTGGGTCCTAAGAGGAACAGCTTCAAGTCTACTAAAGAAGGGGTAAGATTTGTTCCCATGAGGATGTTTTCAGCTGTTAGGAGTCAGGTTCCTTCTAGAAGCACCTTAATAATGAGTATTTATAATAAGACAAGACAGCACATGGAGCAAGTTTCTATCCGAGGTTCAAGCAAGGGCCAATAGCACAACACATCAATCTCTTCAGCATCATGGGCATGTTAGTTTCCCCTTAAGTCCTTGTGTCCACTTGAGCCCATCAGTGGACAAAGTGAAGCCCAGCAGAGGTGTTTCATTGTGCATCCCTTTGGTCAAAGAGGATAGCTTTTTCCATAACCACACAGTGGATGCCTTTGCAGACCCCTCAGCCAGGTGTGGGGTCTCACAATGACCTGCTATGACAGCTCAACCCACTCTCTGGGCTGAGGAGGTGTTGCCTCCCCAGGACCCTCCATCGGAAAAGGTGAAGAGGAACTCCCTTTTAGAAGGGCAGCTGGGCCCCTAGTGTGCCCCTTGGGGGTGTGGGAGTTTGCAGAGTAGATGAATGCTCCCTGAGCACTTGGAAGGATAGGGCAGGGCCTTCCTTTCTCCCCTTCTCCCAAAGTGTCCATGCTGGTCCTGAATGCTTTGGATGGCTACAGGGATTTCGGTGCTTCCAGAACAAACATCAACCTTTTTCTTTCCTTCACCCTGTTCTGTTATACTGACCTGCAAGCACCATGGAACTGAGGCAAAGGTGGCTTATCTGTCCAACTGATCTGTCTAACCTAAGAATGAGTCTGATGATATGGACACAGCTGGTTCCCAAAGCTCTGCTGTGAAAGTTGGTTGAGTCAGGTCTGGGCTCCAGGCTGGGGCACCCAAGGGTGGCTGGTTCTGCTGCTCAGAAAGGCCTTAATGCTGGTCAGGAAGAATGAGCGTGAAGTCCTTTGTGGCTGCCTTGGCAGTCCAAAATTGGAGGCACAACTCAGGCTCTGGAATATCCCATGGGGCCCTGTGGGGACACCTTTGGAGGCCCTCCCCCTTCCATGTTACCTGGTCTCACTTTATGCATTTGTGGTTCACTCAAGGAAAATGGGGGAGGAGGTGGAGAAACGGAGGCCCTCACTGAGAGGACTCGAACATTCACCTGCACAGTGAATACACAAAGGAATCTTCAAGTGCTAGCTGGAGTTCAGGGTTGCAGCAAACCCACTGGAGGTCTGGGCTGGGGACTGTTGAGGTAGGTGGACTCCTGTTCCTATGACCCTAAGCAGACTGACCACCCACAGGTCCTTGTCCGGCGACTAGCTGATGGCACAGAGCTCCGTGGTCGCATTGTGGAGACAGAGGCATACTTGGGGCCGGAGGATGAAGCCGCCCACTCAAGGGGTGGCCGACAGACTCCCCGCAACCGTGGCATGTTCATGAAACCTGGGACTTTGTATGTGTACATCATATATGGCATGTACTTCTGCATGAACGTCTCTAGTCAAGGTTAGTGGTGCTGGGCTTGGGGGAGCAGAACTGGCAGAGCCCCTCAGCTAGAAGTTAGTGTAGGTGGGTGTTTTTGAGTAAGAAGGTGCCATTGTCAGGGCTTCAGGAGCTCTGGCTGCACCGACAAGCCAGGCATGATGGCTCAAGCCTGTCTTTCCAGCTACTTGAGAGGCAGAGATGGGGAGGATCACAGCTCAAGACCAGCTTGATCAAGAGTTCATGAGACTCCCATCTCAACCAACAAAGATGCCAGGGGACCTACAGAACACCACAGATGAGACATGGCCCATGAGGTTTGTCCTGGTCCAAAGCTTTGAGCTGATGTCAAAGAAGACTGGGAAAGATTTGGAAGGGGCTAGTTATGGGAAACAAGGGTGAGCTCAATTTGGGGTGAGCTGGGCTCACACAGGAGCCTCACCAAGTAGCAGATTAGATGTGGTCTCAGTTTGTTGATCAGGAGCAAAGTCTGGCCCATCCCAGCAACTGTCTGCTGAGCCTTTCCTGTCTATCCCTGGGTACACAAATGCTTGGAGAGGACAAGGAGCTCATGTTCTGACATGTTGTAAGTCACACAGTTGGACAAATACAGTGATGTGGGAATTTTGACTGCCCATACCAGGTAGCTGGGGGTGTCTGGCATAGGGACTTCACACTAGAGGATGCAGACACTGTAGGAGAAACGTTGTGCCTGGCACAAAGCAGCATTGAGTGAAACTGGGTGGTTGGACATCAAAAAATGGCAGGAGCCCTCCTGAGGGGCCCTGTTGTTATTCCAGCAAACAAAACCAGCTTTCTCATGTGAGGCAGGGCTCAGCCCAGATGTGCTTGATGTTACGGTCAGTAAGAGAGGAAAGGACCCCAGTACTCCAAGGCACGGTGAACAGGGCAGAGGCAGATTATGACCTATTACTTTTTTTCTCCCCTTGGCTATCAGGGCTTCGTGCTTACTAGGCACATACTACACCACTTGAGCCATTTTGCCAGCCGTTTTTTGTATTGGGTGTTTTTGAGATAGTCTCTCAAACTATTTGCCAGGGCCAGCTTCTAACCTCCATCCTTTTGATCTCTGCCTCCTGAGTAGCTAGGATTAAAGACATGAGCTACCAGCACCCAGTTGACCTGTTACTTTCTCAACATGTGACCAAGGTACCCCAGGAACCTACAGGCCGGGAAACAACCCCCGCCATGAGTGCTCACAGTAAGGCTTATGGTCAGCTGGGGGCCGAGGACACAGTTGTCCCCTTCAGTGGAGTGGAGGATTATGGAGCCAAGGGGAGCAGAGGTCAGGATGCCAAGGTTGGAGCAGTTCTGTAGCAGTTAGGTCAAGGACGTGGGACTCAGATGCGCTCGCGTTAATGAGCCAGAAGAGGGCATGGGGAACGTGCTAAGCGCTCCTTTGGCCACTTACAGATAGCTATGGGGGCACAGTGAGCTAGCAAGGGGATGTGTCCACACTCACAGGGACTTGGGGTGCTTTTTTCCTGCTGGCGTGGCTCAGGGTAAGCACAGAGGTAGACTCAGGTGTGAGAGCTAGGAGCAGTGTGAGAGTCAAAGGGCATGGAACTTCAGAGCTTTGCTTGGCCTTGATTTTATCTTGAATTTGAAAATTGGCTCACAAGAACCCAACACTTGCTGGCTACAGGCTGGGCTGGAGGGCATGGCTTCATCCACTGTGGACTGATGTGAAAGCTGGAGCTGGGAAGAGGCACACATGATCAAGGCTCAAGAGTGGGACTATGTCCACGCTCTTAAGGCAAGCCTAACTTCCAGGTGAGAGCAGGTGTCCCAGGACACCAGCCTTGATACAGGGTCAGGGATGCTATGCCAGGGTTTAGGTCATCATTGTCCGTGACCAGAAATCCTAAGGGCCTTCTCAGATACGCAGGGCGGGGGGAATTTGGTGGGCCTCTAGGCTCAGGAGTGGTGGATTGCCATTTCTGGCCTCAAGTAGCGGTCTAGTAGTGGAGGGCAGCAACTCCTGCCTTGTTTGTCCTTCCACTGTGCTCCCTGGTGGTTGCTCTGAGCCAGCTTCCCAGCTCAGCCAACAGGGATGCTGAGGACGTATAGCAGAAGGGGAGTCCTGAGGTCTGGCTGGGAATCTGGACTAGGCCAAGACTTCTTGCTTCCTAGCAAGGTGACCCCACCCTGGGACTTCCTTTGGTGGTACCATAGCTGCTACCAATCACAGGACCAGAGAAGGCCAGGGAGATGAGGCAGGTGGCCGGCATTCACCACGTGTTTTTACAGGGTCTCTCAAGCTGGTTCTGGCTTCACTGTCGGGGGTGGAGCATTCCTGCCATCATGGTCTTGCATAGTTGTAGTCTTTAGAGGCTCCCAAAGAAAGTATAGCTGCCTTGTGAATGCATGTATGAGAAAAAGGAGGCAGGCAGAGAGGGGTCTGGACAGTGCAAGACACAGATCCCTCCCAGCAGGACATACCAGGAGGCAGTGAGTATAGGTGAACACATGCAGGAAGGCAGCTGCACCATCCCTGCAACACTAGATGTGTGCTGGAACAGGGAGAGCAGGAGGCTGGGGAGGCTCATGCTTCTAAGCTGTCCGTCTGTCCCACAGGGGATGGGGCTTGTGTCCTGCTGCGAGCGCTAGAGCCCCTGGGGGGCCTGGAGATCATGCGGCAGCTTCGCAGAACCCTTCGGAAAGGCACTGTCAGCCGTGCCCTCAAGGACCGTGAGCTCTGCAGTGGCCCCTCCAAGCTGTGCCAGGCCTTAGCCATTGACAAAAGCTTTGACCAGCGGGACCTGGCCCAGGATGAAGCCATATGGCTGGAGCCTGGACCCCTGGGGCCCAGTGGGTTAGCCGTGGTGGCAGCAGCCCGTGTGGGAATTGGCCAAGCAGGGGAATGGGTGCAGAAGCCCCTGCGCTTCTACATCCGGGGCAGCCCCTGGGTCAGTGTGATGGACAAAGTGGCTGAGCAGGATACCCAGGCCTAAGCAAAGAGCCTGTTCCAACAGGCTTTTTAATTGTTTAAAAGCCAAATAAATGTTTTGTTTCTAGAGAACTGTTGTCCATATCTCAGTTAGAGCTCCCTGGCCAATCGGCATGTGTCTACAGTTAGTTCTTCCTCCAGGACAGGAGAGTTGGGCACCCAGCATGTGACCACTAGGGGAAAACCAACAGTATGCATGCACAACACAACCCCTCCCGAGGGCAGGGGCCCCACGCCCTCACTTTTCAGATGGCCAGGATGGGACAACAGCTTGACTGAGCCTGTTGGGTTGGGATGAAGTCTCACCAAGAAAGACTGACAGTAGCTAGAAGGAATGGAGCACATGGCAAACAGGTGATGCTGGGTGAGGGGCCACAGGATAGGCCAGCCGCTTAGACCTCACATGCTGACTGCCATCAGAGCAAGAGGGATGGGTCAGTTTTTCTGCATTCTCCAGGGTGGTGCATGTGGGGTCTTCACAGGGAGCACAGCATGATTGGAAAGGCACAGCCCATGTGCATGTGTGTGTCTCCCTCAGCTGAGCAATGCTAAGGTCTCTTGGGACCAGATGAGAGAGCCCAGAGGGTAGCAGCCACACAAATGCTACTGAGCCAGACTCAGGCACCTGCAACCAGATGGACAGGGGTTCCCAGGACCTTCAGTCAGCGGAGCAGGGTTGACTGTCCATCCAGTGCCAGGGCTCAGGCCAAGAAGGATAGGAGCCCTAGGGTGAGAAGGCTAGCATCTACCTATACACCCAATAGCCTCTCCATCCTCCATCTGGGCTCACGTGAGCAGAGCCTGGAAGACTGCAATGACGGGGTCCTCATGGGTAGTAACCACCAACACACTGCGGAACTTGTCGAAGAGCATAAGCAGCTGGGAGCGCCGTGTGTTCTCGTTGTACATGATTTCCTCCAGATGGTGGCGGCCTCGGAAGTAGTGAAGGAGCCTGGAGGGGAGAGTGGCATGAGTTTAGCCCAAGGCCACCCCCAAAGGCCTCTAACAAACAGCCTCTGGTGGGGATCAGCTCTGAGCAGAGCTGGAGGTGGGGGGCTTGCTGCTCACCTCACCTCCAAACAATGGGACACACAAGCTTCCTAGTCCTGACACCCACCACAGTCCCAGTGGTGGATTTGAAGTGAGTCCCTGAAGAAGCATGACTGTAAAACCCGGAGATGCCCAAGCCTGTACCCTGATATTAGGGGCTAGCAGAGACTTCTCTTTCTTATGTTGCTGTGGTATTGAGCCCACCCTGTTCCCAGGGGCTTTCTCCAGCTGAGGCTGACACAGAAGAAGCCAGGATACAGGCAAGGTCTGGAGCTGCTGCTTGGAAAGTTGCAGATGGTCTTTCAGGGTCCTGGGGTGTGGTTCTTAAATACATTTGTCAGCATCTCCCAGAACAACGTGCACCTACAGTGCCCCCTGGTCAGGGTTGGGGGTGACAGAGCATCAGGCCACTATGACGTGGGGATCAAAGACTTCCCACCCAGGGCCAAGAACTGTGGGCAAATTGCTGCCAAACCCCACATGGGTGAGAACTTGAGACCTGCTGCCTCTCAACAAGAAGCACACAGAAGTATGAAGAGAGTCCCAAAGATGAACATACCAGACCCATGGTCTGTGTGACATTCTGCACTTCCCATAGTGGGCAGTGGTACCCACTCCTGCACACACAGGCACCAGAGGGGCACATGGGTCCTTGAGACACCACCTTGCCCAGGAATACCATCTGCTGTCAGTGAATTTATATGCACCTATGGCCCTTCTGCTTTCTGCCCAGACCCTGGAACTGACCCTGCCTCATCCAGTCACCTGCCCCAACCTGGCAAACATGCGGAGGTCCTCAGGGTTCTGGGCGGCAGGCACACTGAGGATTGCTGCTCGCTCATGCTCTGACAGGCTGGCCAGCAGGTTCTCTGTCATCCTTTTGTTCAGTGGTGAGTCTCCACTGGGTAGCAGCTCTGCACTGGAGTTGTCCATGCTGGGGCTAGTAAGTGTCATGTCATCACTGCTGGCTGTAAGTTAGCACAGGGTAGGTTCAAGGATGCAAGAGGGGGAGAAGCACCCCCACCCAGGAACTGATAGCCATCCCACTCTCTGGGTGCCCTCTCATGTGGCTGACCTGAAACACAAGGAACTGCCCTCTGGGAGCAGTCTTAAGGGCCTGTTGAACCCAGGCGTGCTGTGTGCCCTACACCCCGAGGCATCCTGCACCTCAGACAACTTGGAGCACCCTGGGCAGACAGGGAGGGGTCTTATATGCAGCCTGAAGCCTGACACCAAAACTCAGCCAGAGCACTTCCAAAACCTTCCAGTCCCTTTTCTTCCCCAAACCTGGGGCCCAGAACTTGGTGACTGGCTGCTGCCTTTGGGGGCACAGCAGCAATTCCCAACAGTGAGCAGAACAGTCACTGCCTCCTTGTGGGCCCTCAGGCACAGAGGCCTCAACTGTCCTGGTGTCATTAGGTCTTGCTCTGATCCCAGGCTAGGACAACTTCCCGCCCACCCTCTCCACCTCTACTGAAGAGCTTCTTTCCTCAGAACCATGGTGGTATGTGGAGCTGGAAAAGAGGGGTCTCCATGGAGGACAGGACAGCTTTATGCCTGTGGGCACATGCGCAGCCATGCAGAGGCACCTGCCAATCCAGCAGTACCCATGTCAGGCTTCCTGGCTACCACCCCAAGGTCCCACACTATCAGACCAATGCCCCAGGGGGGTCCTACTTGGGGAGCCGAAGCTTAGGGCGTTGGGTGTGCTGAGGCTGCGGCCCCCAACACGGGCAGTGAAGGGCATGTCCTCGCGCAGGCGGGGCTCCTCCTCACTGGGCGAGGCCATCAGGCAGACGTAGGTGTGCAGCTGGATGAGGAGCCGGCGCTGCAGCATCCACACCACCATCTGGATGAGCTGGGTCTACGGTGGGCAGTGTGAGGTATGGGTGAGGTTGGCTTCCCCACCCCACCCCATACCTTCCTGGGAAGGAGGGAGCCATGGCCCTAAGTAGCCCCAGCACACTTCCTGGTGCTAAATCCTAGGCAGAAGGGCTCTTCACCTCTGAAAAGGATCCTCCAACTGTTGGCTAATTCTCCAAGGCCTACTCACTCCCTCAAGGAAGGTACAGGGGCCAGGAGACCCTGGATTCCACCTGCAGTAGATCCCACCACACAATGGACTCCCCTCTCTGAGCTGAATTCCCCTAGAGCCACCCGCCTCTGAATCCCTCACCTTCAGCCCACTAGACCCTGCTGCTGGACCCAGCTAGCCAGTCACTGCTGGGAAAGCCCAGACACTGTTCAGAGAGAGGCTGTGGGCATTTGCCTGTAAGCAGAAAACCCTCTCCTTTGGGAGTCTTCCCTGCACACATGGAGGTTCCAGAAAGAAACCAGGGAAAGGGACCTCCTCAGATGTGGAGCCAATGCCCCTCCCTACTGTGAGGCACTTCCAGGCCTATTTGCTCTGGTCAGCAGGTGGGACCAGCACCTCCTCATCACAGACATCAAGCAACAGGGTGTGTGCAGAGGGTACCAGTGTTCTCATCTTTGGGAAGTCTGGAAAGAAGTGCTGCCCAGGGTCACTAATGGGAGGGGTGTACTACTAATCCTGGTCAAGAAATATCTAAACTTAAGATAAAATTAAGAAATAAAACACAAGAGCTTCCTAAGCACTAGACAACATATCCCCAGGACTTGGCAGAACCGAACCCAAGTCCATCCAGGCCCCCTGGCCCTGCTCAGACTGGAAAATGCATTCCATTATCCAGACCACCGGAGAGTTTCTGCTAGAATGGGAGCACTTGCCAGCCCCTCCCCCAAAAAGTGCCCTGGAGGATGGAAGGAGGACACAGATGCAATGTGTGTCTTTTATCCAACTGGCACGACCTGGCACAGTTCCTGGAAACTAAAGGCTCTATGAAAGACATCATTTAGAACTCTGTCACACTTGGTGTCTAGAAATGAGATGAAAAATCAGAATCTTATTCCCATTCACAATTTTAAAGGGTTTGGTTTTAAGACTGGTTTTGCCCAGTAGATCTGACATGTATTAAAACAAATACTTTGCTTTTGGAGACAAAGCACTGAGAACACCCAGCTTGTCTCAGACACCTGTCCTATATGGCACTACCCTGACCTCACCCAGAGCTCCATACAGTCAGTGGAAGAGAAGAGGCAAAGCCTCCTGGGCTCCTGTCAAGCCAGAGGCTGTGAAAAGTGACACCTTACAGCCACGGGGAAAGCCACTAAGCCCATTCACCACACCTGCGGGAAGCTCCTGCCACACCCAGCCCCCATCCACCTACCCTGCCCTGACCCAGGCCCACTAGGCAGAAGCAGTCCCAGGCTGACACACTACAGGTTCTTTTGGATAAGGAAACTCTGATCCCTCAGAATTCTCACACACACAGACCCTATGGCCTCTGAGCCCCCAGGGGAATGGGGGGCAGAAACAAAGATCTCTCAGAAGGTGGGGTGCAGGCTCAGTAGAAACAGAACTGCTTTTGCACCTTCTATCTGTGGGCAACTCCTGGCCCAGACAAAAGGCAGTACAGTGGGTTCTTATTGGCCGAGGGAAAGCCAGTGCTCTCCTGAAAGCTTAACCCAGTTCTAACCCTAAGGGTTAGAACTAACACAGCCAGGGGAGCTCCATGAACTGGGTCACTAGCCAAGTGTCTTCAGGCAGCCTAGCAGCTGGCTGGGCACACAGTACCTGCACAGCAAGCCCCTAATGCCAAGGCAGAAGGGGCAGCAATGCAAAGGGCTTTTGGATCAGGACTCACCCACTTCACATCACAGGTTAGACTCCTTCCTGGGGCTTCTGCAACTCACCTCCTGTACGGGAGGAGCCAGAGGGCTCCTGAACTCCGACAAGGAGACAGGCAAGGAGAACTTGGCCAGGACTGACGGCAGGTCATGGGATGGGAACTGTCGGGAGAACTGCTCGGCCAGTGGGGAGTACCTGGAGACAAGCCAGTGCAGCTATGGATGCAGCAGACCCCTGCAGCATCCTCGACATAGGCCATTAAGGGCAGCAGGGAATCACAGCATGGTGAGCAGGCCAGACTGGTGGAATGGGATGGGATGGGCTGAGGTAACCCAGCAGAACCAGGCAGACCTTCATATGGACAGAGCCCAGGCACTGTCCCTCAGAGGCTATGCATTAGGCTGAAGTGAGAGCCTTGGGGTCTCACAAACTCTGGTGCCCAACTACCCTAAGGGCACCAACTGAGGGCCCTGCAGGGTTCACCCCTTTCCACTCCACACTCCATGCCTTGGCAGCCAGCAGTACTCACAGACACACACTGGCATTGGGAGACAGGACGTAGACGTTGTTCTCACACAGTGGGTAGATGATGACGGCCTTGCCCCAGTACACCAGGTGAGCCGCAAGCTGGAAAACCTGCAGGCCAAAGGAAACCTAGAGGACCGGGCCTGAGGAGCCATGGCCTCCCTGCACTAAAGTAGCTGGCCTTGGGGCTTGGGCTTGGTTACACAGTCCTTGTGGCCTTCTTTCCTGACTCAGAGTAACACTTTGCCAACCTCCAAGCAGGGTGCTGGGCACAGCCAGCAATGTCTCCTATGCTCAGAGCAGTGGTCCTCTTACTGCTACTCCTGGGCTGTTTGGTACCACTGTTTCCCTGCCAGAGCCCTAGATTGTCTTGGCTCCTGCTGAGGAATGGTGCTAGGTGGCAAGCCCATGAACACAGGGACAACTGAGATGCTGGGGAACACAGACCCAACCCAGCTGTTCAGGGGGCTGGGCTTGATGTCCCAGCAGAGGCATGGCTCTCCCCTACTCACCAAGACCGCAACATGGCCTCCAAGTAATGACGGATGTGGAATCACTCAACATGCCACCCTTGCACACCCAAACGCCCTGGACTACCCTACGTGCCCTGCCTTTCCCAGAGAACATCCTACCATCTTGCTCTCCTATGCCCTCAGACACTAGGAGACACAGACAAAGACACAGAAATCCTTTTCAGAGGAAACCCTGGGGCACCCAGCTCCACAAGGAGACCAGGTCTGTGGACACAGCACCACAACCCTTCATGAGGTGGTGTGTGAAGTCCCAAGCAACTGGCTTGTCTGCCTACATCTCCAGGTGCATCTCAGTAAGTAGGTCCAGGGTGGACACAGTGCCAGCTATATTACTGAGGACCCATCTACTTCATCTTGGTCCCCAATGGCACCACCAGCTCAACATGGAGGAAACAGTGGTTCATCACTGCCTCTCTTCTCTCTCACCCTGAGCACCACTTACATGAGCTCTCAGGTAAAGGCATGCCCACTATGTCCATCCCTGCCCCCACCCTGGCCTGGAGGTATCCACACCTCACCTCTCCCTCCAGCAGCCCTGCTTAAACTCTGCCCCTCTAAGACATTCTTCACAAGGCAGTCAGAGCATTACACTAGAAGTCCAAAATCAGTGTCACAGAGCTGGAATCAAGGTGCCAGCAAACCTGTTTCTTCTGGAGGCTCTAGGAGAAAAACTGTCCTTGCTGCTTCTACCTGCTGATGTCACTTGGCTTATGGCCACATCACTCCATCACCCCCTTCTCTTCTGTAGTCAAATTTCTCTGCCAGGACCCTTCTGGTTACAGTTAGGACCCACCAGGATAATCTTCCCATCCCAAGATCCCTAATGTCATAACATCTGCTAAGTCCCACATGAGGCCACATTCACAGGACCTGGGAAATAGGAAGTAGATGTTTGTGGGAACCATTACTCAGCTGATCACAGATAATATACAGTCACCCTAATTTTGTTATTCCAAAATAATGCATTTGTTTCATCAGGTGCTATGGTACACACCCATAGTCCCAGCTACTTGGGGGACTAAGGTGAGATCACTTGAGCCCAGGAGTTTAACCAGCCTAGGCAACACAGTGATACCCTTTCTCAGAAAATTGAAATAATGTGTGTTCATACATAAAAACCTGGAGGAAGCTAGATGTCATAGCACACCTCTGTAATTCCAGCATTCAGGACACTGAGGCAGGAGTATCACAAGTTCAAGGCCAGCCTGGTCTATAGAATGACCCTATCTCAGATAACAAAAAATGAACTGGGGAAGTGGCTCAAGTAGCAGAGCACTGGCACAAAACCCTGAGCTCAATCCCAGTATATATAAAAAAAAAAAAACCTAGAGGGATCTTCAGTAATTTCAGGGATTCCAGTCACTTCTGGAATACAAGATGGTGGGGACTTCCTGTGTCTATGTAATTATTTGAATTTTCATAAGAAAAAATAAATTTATTTTATCATTACAGAAAAAAATTGAATCCTCTCTGGATTGAGATGACTGTGGACAATTTTAAATCATTTTGTGACATTCACATCTGAGGCAGATGCTCCCCATGGGGCCTGGCCACTCTTCTCCACAGAGACATCTACAGGAAACAGCAGTCCCAGGAGTTGGTGAGCTGAGCCTCAAGGGCTGGGCCCCAAGGGGCTTCCACACTGCTACACCAGCAGCAAATCCTGCCTTGTACTAGGTCCAGCAGGAAGGGGGGATGGAAAGAAACAATAACAAACAGCCTCTCCACCCAGGCAAGGCCAAGGCCGGGAAGTGAAGGAGACATCAAAGAACATCAAAACTTTGTCCAAGAGGGCTCTAACAGTACGGGTGAGGCACACGTCCAACTCAGAGCCCACCAGCCAGTGTCTTAGTAAAGGGGGAGTGCCCAGGTCTCTTCTAAGCTTAAAGAAGCATATACGGACACTCACAGCTACCTACATGGGGTAGTACTCATCAAAACAGGCTGTCCCTTACTCTGCAGACATATTATAATAGTGAGCACATTTCAAGTCTTGTGTCTTGTGGATGCTATGAAGGGGGCAAGACTTGGTCCTTACAGTTTCTCAGCCCTGGAGGCCAGGTTGAAATAAAAAGGCACAGCTAAGTGCTCTCACAGAGCAGACAACGAATGGAGGGACTTATTCTGAAGGAGATAATCAAAAATGCTGCTTTGGGAAAAAATGACCTGAGAGGCAGCTGGGTCTAAAAAGGGCAGAACACAAGCAATGCCAATGCCTTCCCTGGACGGACTTCTCAAACCCAAACAGAGCCAGGGAGCCCAGCCAGAGGGGCCCAATGGGCCTGCCTAAGGCTTATGGTCTCCTCATCCACCTGGGCAAGCTGATCTTTGAAGAACCTGGTTCCCAGTGTGGGACTCTGCTGCCCCCTGGTGGCCGTGTGGTGTGTATCAGCACCAGACCCTGGATCCTGGCCACCCATAGGCACTGGCTCACCTGGTACTGTCCTCGAGCTGTCTCTTGGATGGCTCCCACAACCTTGGAGAAGGTGGTCCCAGTTGCCTGGGCCCCTGGTCAGTTTCTTCTTGAGTTTTTCTTCCCCTCTTCTCTCTCCTCCCCTACCCCACTCTAACCAGAAACACAGACAAGGCGAAGGGGCCCTCCCTCTGACCCCAAAGGGCAATCCACAAGCACACAGTTCAGCAAGGTGGCATCTCTACAAAGAACAGAAGCCAGTGCATGCACACACAGCAGGGTAAGGCCACCAGCTCAGGTCCTGGCTTTTCCCAGGGCAAGCCCCCTGCCCTTACTTCCAACATACTTGGTCATATGCCTCAGAAACTCCCCTAAGCTACCTGACACCCTGTAAGGCTCCTTTATCACCCCACGACTCTGGTCCTGGTGTCCCATCCTCCAAGTCTTTGTTCAGTGCTGGGAGCACCATCCTTTCTCCCATAGCTTGCCTCATCTTGCCTCAACAGAGGAGAAAGTCAGTCCTGCAGCTCCCAAAAGTTTAACTCAGATGACAGAACCTCAAGCCACCCCAAGAACCACCTGGTCTATGATAAGCTGTGCAGTAGCTCTGGGCCAGCTAGCCAGAGGCCCTGGGGATGCAGCATGGTGGGCAGTCTGCTTTCCTGATGCCCCAGGGCCTCCCACCTTCACGAGGGCTGCCTGTTCTGGATGCACTCAGAGGCCTCTCACCCATCCAGGTCCCCTACCTGCAATAAGGCCAGGTCAGCATCCTGTGCAAGCTGTTGCAGGTTCTTCACAGGGGATGTGGTCTTGATCACTCGCACCAAGGCTGGGGAGCAGTCGATGGGAAGCTCACCCAGCAGGGACTTCTCATCACTGAGCAGCAGTAGGGCATGATATGGGCTAAAGAACAGAATTACAAGTCAGCAGGACATGCAGAGTCACAAGGGCCACCCTGCACCAGGTGTACACCTGGAACACCAAGGCACTCAGGAGATGCTGAGGGAGGAATAAGACAGAAGGGCAGACATGTCCAGGGACCTTTACAAAATCTGTTAAGGATTAATGTTTCTCAGGAAGAAACAAATGAGAAAAAACTGGGATGGGGGTGCACCTGGACACCAGACCAACTCCACATCCCACCTCTAAGATTGCCACACACGTTTACTAATTGAAGAAATGACCTTTCCTAAGGAAACAGCCCCAAACATGGGAAAAGCAAATCCCCTCCACAGACTCTGAAGATAACAACACTAAAAATATGCTTAGCAAGGAGACTGGGAGGAAAGACATCTGACATTCAACAGAGATGGGGGAGGCTGGGAGAACAGGGCTCTGCATTGCTTTCTGTCATTTCCAAAGAAATGTACCCTGGGGGTGGGGGAAGGGGGGAGAAATGACCCAAACATTGTACGCACATGTGAATAAAAAAAAAAAAAAAAAAGAAATGTACCCCAGATTATTTTCTTTGTGGTGCTGGGAACAAAACCCAGAGCCTCTTGCATTCTAGGCAAGTGCTCTATGTCCCCAGCCCTTTTTTTTTTTTTTTTTTTTTTCGGTGGTACTAGGGTTTGAACTCAGGCTCTTGCTGGGCAAGCACTCTACCACTTGAGCCCCAGATTTCTTTTTTAGTTAAACAATATTCAAAGACACAAGGGACTTGATGGTGTACATGTATGTGCATGTGTATGTGTATATGTGTGTGTGTGTGTGTGTGTGTGTAGTTTGCAGGTGCTCACCTGTGTCAAGAAATTAGGCTCTGCTCTTTACCTTGCAGGAAATCAATTACATTAAGAAACAGATCCTGTGATTTCTGACTCAAATACAGGGTATCTCTAAGCATTACCATGAAGACAAAACGCCCTGGAGGCTTGGATTCTCCCCATATTCAATCATATACCCCTCCCCAGGCTGATCTCCCAGGCCTGGGGTGAGGATGTTGGCAGAGAGTGCTGGGAGGACCCCGGGGAAACCTAGAATGGGTCATTTCTGGAAAGAACTGGATACAGAATCATGTGTTTTTACTAAAAGCAGAGCCCTACCTGCCAATTTTTGTGGCAGGAATGGGAAAAAAGAATTTCTGAAACAAAGTAACTGGTAAAGTCTTAGGCACCAGCTAAAGAGAAGGGCCCTGCAGGGAGTATGCAAGTGAGGGTGGCTCTCACCGGATAGCTTTCAGGCTCCGCTCAATGGCCTCAGGGGGGATCAGGCTGGAGGCTGCATAGTGGATCTTGTGAGGCAGGCAGAAGCTCACTTCCAACCAGCTGTTGATGTGGAGCCGCACCACACCAGATGTGCACAGGCTGCAGAAAGTGGACACTGTTACTGTGGGACTCTTCCACCAGCTCACATAGGAGCTCTCTAAACATGCACACATCACAACACCCCACTCGAGGGCACTGACCCGGCACCCTGCCCTAGTGGTTTGAGGAAGCTGCAGGTGGAGGCCTCGTGGGCAAGACAGCATCTTTTCAGATTTCAGTGTATTTAAGAAAGTATGTTAGGACATAGCCACAAATGAATTTCTGGATAACCCTGGAATCTGCAGTTCAACCAGCCTGCCAAGGCTCAAGGAGAGCCTCTTCTCATGCAGCAAAGGCATCTCATCTAGCCCCTGCCTGTCCAGGCCCCTGGCAGATACCTGGCACCCAGAACACGTCCTCCCTCTGAAGGGCCCTGACCTGCACACCTGATGTAGACCCAGTCACAGTGGGCAGCCAGGCGAGGTAGGGCCTGACTCCAGAAAGGAAATGGGTAGGAAAAGAGGGGGCTGTCAAGTCCCCTAGAATGTCCTAGTGATAGGAAGCACAAAGCACCTTCATCCGTGCACCCTGCAGGTGCCAGCTGCACCTCGGGTACGATGCACATGGACACCAAGCAGAGGATACGTAGTATGTGACTGTCTGATCCAGCTCCACACTCTACCACCATGGCAAACCTCTCACTCCACATTCTCTCACTGATGCCAATTTAGAGGAGGGAGAGAGCCATGGCTCATACTGCACTCTCTGGGTGCAACTACCTTGGCCCAGGAATCCCCTGCCCTGAGAACAGGCTCAAGTGGGCTATGGCACTGTAGGTGGTCCCTGGGGCAACCACACCCAGGAAGAAGGGGCTGTGTAAAGGTGGACCAGCCCTGCCCCCATGGCTCAGCCATGTATCAATGCACTTGGTGTTTAACATGGAGGAAAAGCAAGGCCTCCTGTGGCTGGTCCTCAGTGCCCTGAGCAAGAAGATATTCCTGTGACCTGTCTGACCTAGCCAAGCTAAGAAGAGTCAAGGTAGCCAGGTGCTGGTGGCTCACGTCTGTTTTCCTAGCTACTCAGAAGGCAGAGATCAGGAGGATTGCAGTTTGAAGTCAGCACAGACAAATAGTTTGTGAGACCCTATCTCGAAAATACCAACACAAAACAATGCTGGTGGAGTGGCTCAAGGTATAGGCCCTGAGTTCAAGCCCTGGTACCGGAAAAAAAAAAAAAAAACAAGGAGGCTTTTCTCCTCTGTCCTGTGCAGGGAATGTAGCATAGTGCCTTAATGGTGACAACATCAGTTCTTAAACAGCAGCAAGACACATCAGTTGTTCTCCAAACTGCCAATTTCTACGCACCTTCTCCATGATATTTCTTCTGCTGCCCCCACCCAGGAGAGCAGCCAAGAAATGCTTTTCCCATCACCTCCCACCCAATGCTATTTCCAGCTCTCAGCTGGGGCATGGGCCAAGACACCCACATCTGGCTAAGTTTGGGACAGGCCAGCAGCCCCAGAAAGCGTGGCAGAGCTCCTCCTGCCCAGCTCAGAAGGCAAAAATGGCACCTCAGACCCCTCTCTGGGACCACAAATGCTGGGGGCAGAGGGGTCACCAGTGGGAAGGCAGTCCCACAGCCCTCATCCTACCACCAAAGACAGATTTTTCAGTCTCTTCCCTGAAGCCTCAAGCAACAGACCAAGACTCCAAGCTTCTCTTCTCAGGAGAGCTAGCAAAAATAAGTCTTTATTTAGCAAGCAGGGAACAATCAATAGAGAAAGGAAACATGGAAAGAACACAAAATACAGGATTCCTGACAGCACCAACTGTCTGCTTACTGCAAGGTACTCCAAGGTGCCCAACATCCAATGCCCTTCCTTCCCCAGATGCATCTGGAAAACCCATCCCTAACCCCCCTGCCCCAGGCATCACCACCACTGAGGAGGGGTGCAAAGGTGGAGGGGCACAGATTGTGGCTGAGTCTGGAAGGTAAAGATTGTTCCACAGTCCTTCAAGGAGAAAACACACAAGAGGGGTTAGGGAGTAAGAAGATTGGGGGAAAGAATTAAGGTTCCAGAAGAGGGCACCACTTGGCTTCTGCCAGAGTAGATGCTAACTAGGAATGTATGAGTAGACAGAAGCTCCCAGAGCCTCACCCTTCTCTAGCCAGGGTCTTTGTGGGGTGGAAAACTCTTGTCAAACCCTAAGAAATGGCCTGGCCTCTTAAGGAATCAAAGATGGCACCATGAGAGATCTGCCCAGGAGACCCAGGTGAGTTGCTCAACTTCACCAAGCACAGTTACTCTCTCAGCATCTACACATCAGCATCTTCCTGTTTAGGAAGAGAAGAGCAAGGGAGAGGAGGCCCCAGATTGCTACAGCCATCTCCATGGAAACACTGGCCTCCAATTAACTTTCTACATAGTCAGAAAGGGAGGCCAACTAAAAATAAAAGGTCTTCTATTTTTGGGCTGTCCGATTTAGGGTATAGCACAAGGTAGCTAATGGAAAAACACAGAATCAGAATTAAGCACCAAGACTACTATCATTTCAAACACAGCTATTTCTGCTCCACCAAGGAGCTCAGTGATGCTGTATGCAGTCAGCACTCATCTAACAGGTACTGAGACCAAAAAGTGACTTTTCAATTATTAGCTAAAGGTTGGGAGTTGTCATTCTTTCTCTGATGTAGAAATGCAAGGGGAGTAGTAGGATAAGCTTGTATATAGTCCATCTTGGGTATGGAAGATAAAATCATTGTGCCTGTGCACAGTCAACTTGTCAGGACACACAGCTCTGGCAGGTGCATCTATCTCCTGTTGCACCATGAGAGATTTGACTATGTGGAAAGTTAAGTGGAGGCCAGTGTTTCCATGGAGATGGCTGTAGCAATCTGGGGCCTCCTCTCCCTTGCTCTTCTCTTCCTAAACAGGAAGATGCTGAAGTGTACATGCTGAGAGCATAACTGTGCTCAGTTAAGTTGAGCAACTCACCTGTTTCAGTCACTTAGGACACATCAGGAGAGGAAACAATGTGCAGCCCTGAACTTAAGGCTCCCATTCACCATTGGGAAAGACACACACATAACTATAAGCAAATTGAATAAACTAGAGTAACAGGACAAGGTGCAAAGAGAGGAGGTATGTGTGAGAGTAGAGGGCTTGAGCTGGGCTCCATGGAGAACCAGGAACGAGTGCCAGCTGTGAGTATAAGGGAATGCCATCTTAAGGCCTTTACATTATATGCCTGGTTCAGCCTTCTCTGCCATGCTCACAGCACCCCATGCCCTGGTCTTATGTACACGGGCATGGGGCCCTCTCCCAGTGGGAGACATACCCATGTTGTTCCCCTGGTCTCCATGAGGACTTCACTTCTCTCTCCCAAGCACCTGCTCACTCCCTGGCCACCTTTCTTCTTGAGTGCTTTACACTGAGGTTGGCTCCTCTTTACCAACTAACCAAGCTCCAGGCTCCACAGTATGGACACTGAGCACTAAGTGCTGGCACCAGGACTGCCTTGAGGGCCAGCTGCACACCTGGGCAAGCCTCTGGAGCATGTCAGGAAGACAGATGTGCTGGGAATGTGGTGCCTACTGAAAAACAGGCTTACCCTGTTTTTAAAGTCTGCAGTTTTAAGACAAGACCGAGGACCTGAGCTAAGTTTTTACTTCTGTGTAAGGTGTTTAATTGTTTGGTCTGAAAACACTCTGCAGGAAAAAACACTGAGGGCTTATCTAGACCTCATACAGCCAGGAGCACCCAGCCCAATCTGCAACAGGAGATAGATGCTCCTGCCAGAGCTGTGTGTCCTGACAAGATGACTGTGCACAGACACAATGATTTTATCTTCCATACCCAAGATGGACTATATACAAGCTTATCCTACTACTCCCCTTGCATTTCTACATCAGAGAAAGAATGACAACTCCCAACCTTTAGCTAATAACTGAAAAGTCACTTTTTGGTCTCAACTCTGGTCAACCTCTTCCCACCCCAGGACAGACACCTGGAATGACACTGTCCTGCACATGCTATATCTTCTGGCCTCACATACAAGCCAGCCTTCCTACATGTGGTGAGCACTTCATAACCCAAGAGAGATAGGTAAACTGCAAAAAGCCTACCTTAAAATTTCAAATAAAACTTTTTTTTTGGGGGGGGGTGTCAGGTTGAGACAGGGTCTTGCTATATAGTCCAGGCTGGCCTTGAACTCAAGATCTTCCTGTATTGGTCTTCTGAGTGCAGGGATTACAGGCATGTACCACCACAAACAAAATTTTACACAAAGGTACATTTTTATGGAAACAGAGCATATAATTCTACAAACACTCAGAGGCATGAGTGCCAACCTTGTTCAGCAGTATCAGGCTACACAACAAGCACCACCAGTCTAGTCAGGCCCTGGACAGTATTTCTCAAACTCTGAGCCTCCCAAACCCTGCCACAGCACTGTTAGCTCCAACAGCCATTCAACAAACCACTTCTTCACACCCCAAGGAACCTACATTACATTACTCTTGCTGTTATACTTTCCTTCAACCAGCAGTGCACAAGGCATGCTGAGCACCAAGGCTGAGTAAAGGAAGTGAAGGGATAACCCTCCTGCACAACCCAATGCTCAAACGAGTGAGGCGGTCGCTGGCATCTTGGCGCTCCAGAGGGAGACAGAGGGCTGACACACAATCCAGAGTGGCCTCCAGAGGGACTCATATGCCCAACCTATATTCACAGACATGTAAGTCCCTTGGGGACAGGGCTACAGGCTACTCAGCCATACCATAACCACTGAGTTTTGATTAAAATAGAAAATTCAGAGCTGGGCCTATAATCCTAGCTACTCAGGAGGCAGAGAACAGGAGGACTGAGGTTCAAAGCCAGCCCTAGGCAAATAGTTCATGAGACCCTATCTTGAAAAATACCCATCACAAAAAAGTGGCTCAAGGTGTACGCCCTGAATTCAAACACAAGTACCACAAAAAAAAAAAAAAAAAAAAAGCAAATTCAGAACAATTCCTTTGAAAAGTCCCTCTCTAATTTCCAATCTCATTAAGCCTCACAGATGTGCTGGTGAAGTGGCTCAAATGGTAGTGCACCTGCCTAGCAAACATGAGGCCCTGAGTTCAAACCCCAGTGCGGCCAAAAAGAGAAAAAAAAAAGCTTCACTGCTTCTGGTCTTTAGTACTGCTCTGAGAAAGCCTTTGGCAGGGATGTGGCAGAGAGTACTGTCAGAACAAAAGGCCGTGTTTTATGCTACCTGGTCAATACCATAATGTGGAGGGGACAGGCCCTTGAGACCAACCATGGACCTGGAAGATGATGTTGGAGGGGAGTGGGCAGCTGCAGAGCTGTGCTGACACTCGCAGGGGTGGAAGTAAAAAAGGATACCACTATCAAGTCTCCTGCAGAGAAGTGCATCTCTCAGCATCCCTGGGGCAGGCTCTAGGGCCCAGGACTGACTGAGGTGGGCAAATAGTTCATGAGACCCTACCTCAAAAATATTCAACACAAAAAAGGGCTGGTGGAGTGGCTCAAGCAGTAAGAGTGCCTGCCTAAAAGCATGAGGCCAAGTTCAAACCCCAGTACCACCAAAAAAACCAAACCAAAGCAAAAAAACAGAGTCAGACAACAAGAACCAGAAAGGTCCTATTCTGGGTCAGAAGCACAGCTGCACTAAATTCTCCAAAGCAGAAAGAACAAGAAACCAATCACTTAGGTATACTGAAATTCTCTTAACACATGAGAGGCCTATGCCCAGAAGTCATGAGGAGGCAATTACTAGTTGCCACTATGTCACAGAAGACAAACTTCCTTCCTATATTACAGCACCTACATTTTACAACAGAAAAGCAAATGAGGGATATGAACAGAGTGCTCACAGAAATGAAAATACAGATGGTTCAAACATAAATGCATAATATGAGCTAATCGAAATACCATTCTCCACCTCTTGTGTTGGTTAATATCCAAAAGTCCACCAAGACCCTGTGTTGGCAAAGCTTGGAGGAGAGCATCTCATGAGCTTCTGGTAAGAGCATAAATCAAGGTACAAATGTCCAGAGGGAAACACATGGATATTACAAATGCATTTTACTCATCTGTAATACTTTTAGCAATTCCTTAGGGATACAGGCACACACCCAAAATAACACATGCAAATGGCTGAGTAGTGCATCTTACAATAGCCAAAATCTGGAACCAACTAAAGGCCCAAAAGAGGGAGCTGGCTAACTATGCAGCCAAAAACCAAATGAAAAAGCACTTCTTTGCCAATACAGACTACTAAGTTGCAAAACCAGAGAGCAAAATAATATTGCAGTGTGCTACCTCTATGTAAGGGGAATGTGGGTCTATGTACCTTCTGCCATCCTGAGGGAAAGGGGCGCACTGCTGACTGCTGGGGTGTATCCTGCCACAGTGCAGTACAACATACAATGCTGATTTTCAAAGGAAAGAATGTGTGACCTTTTCAAAAGCTGAAGTTTAAAAAAAGAAAGAAAGAAAGAAAGACATTAAAATTACCAAAATGTTAACAGTGATTATTGCTGGGTATGGGATTATAAATGGCTTTTATTTTCTTTATCCTCTTTCAAATTTCCTAAATTGTCTATCTTGAACATCTACTGTTGGTGAAATCAGAAAAAGAATCTTAAAACATTTAAAAAAAAAAAAGGGAAAGGGAAGGCTGATAGAGTGGCTCAAGCAGTAGAGCTCCCGCCTACCAAGTGTGAGGCCCTGAGTTCAAACCCTAGTACTGCTAAAATAAAATAAGAAAAAAGTTTACTGATGCTGGCAGAGTGACTCAAGTGGTAGAGCCCAGCAAGTGTGAGGCCCTGAGTTCAAACCCAAGTGCTGCCAAAATACAAAAAGAAACTAAGGTGAAAAAAAAAAGACAGAAAGGAGCCTCCTGGTGCTTACACAGGCTATGTTCTGATACTATGTACAAAGCGGAGGTAAAATAAACCTACCCCATATACACCTCAGCCTAAGCCCTGTGCCTGGTCTGTATTGTAAATGGGAGACATGGGGTAAGAGAAAAAAAAGAGAGAAAGACAGAAAGGATCCAAACTGGGCATGGTGGAACATGCCTGAAATCCCAGCACTCAGGAGGCTGAGGCAGGAGGACCATAAATCTGATGCCAGCTGGGCTCTGGTGGCAGATACCTATAATCCTAGCTACTCAGGAGGCAGAGACCAGGAAGATCACAGTTCGAAGCCAGCCTGGGCAAATAGTTCACGAGACCCTATCTTGAAAAAACCCTTCACAAAAAAGGGCTGGTGGAGTGGCTCAAGGTGAAGGCTCTAAGTTCAAACCCCAGTACCACAAAAAAATAAATAAATCTAATTCCAGCCTTGGGCTATATAGTAAAACCCTGTCTCAGAAGATAAAAAAAGAAGGATCCTATACAAACTGTCACCACTCACACCCCAATGGGCCATGGATATGCGAGCTCAACAGCCACAGAGCTCAGGTCAGGAGGTCCAGCCACCTCAAGGGGAATCCAGATGGGAGGAATCCACCAGAAGGGAGCAAAGCCTCAGAGGCCTGGGAAGGGCACCCAGATGAACACGTGGAAAAAGAGAATGTGGGAAAGCAGAACAGCAAAGAATGAGGGAGACTAGTACTGAGGCAGGAACACACAGAAAGAGGCCCAAGGTCACGGGCAAGACAGATATGGGATCAGTCTGCACTGAGGAGAACGGTCTGGGACAGATGTGCTGGGTGCCCAGCAACGTACCCAGCACTATGTGTACCCTCTGCTGTAGGTAATGAGGCACCATGTAAGTGGACACTGGTGGTGCAGAGCAGGCAATGCTCTAGGCAGGGCTGCCAGGTAGGCTCCCAGCCCCAGCTGCATCTGCAGGACCAGGATGGGCACTGGGACTCAGCCCTGAGCAGCAGCCAACCATATCTGCAGGTCTTCATTTAATAAAGTGCTCATGGCAACCCCAATGCTTGCTGCCCTCCTGCACTCAGCATACAGACTCCAACTCCCTCAGAGCATGGGTGAAGTGGGGGCAGTGACACCCTAATGAACTTGGCACTTGTCATGCGTGGTAAGATGTCACTTTGTATTTGATGATTCAAAAATACTTTCAGAATCTCATGTACAACTTTAGATTCATTTTCTGTTTTAAGAGGAGCCTGATGGTGACTGTCCCAACTGGGCATACACCACTCATCAAAGGGACTATCATTTGAAAATCAGACACTTTTCTCAAGGGTTGGCCACACAGCTGCCCCTCCCCTGCCCTCTCTCACCCCCATCTCAACAGAGCTCCAGCACCTGCACACAAGAACAGTGCCCAGCACTGAGGAGCCCCATATGAGAATGTGCTCGGGTCAGGAGCCTAGGAAGCTGACCCATGAGGAGGGGGCTCAATGAGTATGCCCGCCTGTCCTACCTGTCATAAGCTTCCTTGAGGTCCCTGGCCAGCTTGCATTTAGGCAGGATGTGATGAAACGGGGACTGAGGACCTTCATTTGCTGCAAGAATCACAACAGAGAAGGATTTAGAACTTCCAAAGCAAGGAAATGTGCATAGGCTAGAATAGGGACTATCTTTAAAATAAGTCCAACTTCAAGAGGTTTGAGTACTCTGACAATTAAGACAGGGTATGTGTTCAACCACTTTTACACGGAATGCTTATAATTAAGCATCATCATTGGCCCCTATAACTGTGCAGTCACAGGAGCAAGCCATCCCACTGCCACTCCAGAAGGGCCATCTGAGACCGGCAGACCATTTCTGTCTCGGTAACCAGGCATTTCAATGCCACATCCCTCTCCTCACCTCACACATCTATGCTAATGAATTTGTTTTTATGATTGAAATGTCTTATTAATCCATTTCTGTAAGTCTGTAACAGAAAATCATATACTTCAGTTTCCTTTTTACATCTAGTGGTAGTTTCAGACTCTAAAGAGAATTTTTTAAAAAATAAAACACCTGAGTTATTATTATCATAATTATAATTAGCACACAACTGGCCAAAATAGGAATGTAAGTTTTGCATGTGTGTGGTGGTAGGAATCAAACTCAGAGCCTCATGTATGCTAAGCAAGTGCTCTACCACTATCCTATCCCTAGATTACAAATTTTAACAGCTAATTTTCAAACAAAAAAGTAAATTTTTCAGTGCGGCATGGCTCAAGAGCAGAATGCCTGCCTCAAAAGCATGAAGCCCTGAGTTCAAACCCCTGAACCACTAAAAAAATAAGTAAATTTTGACTGAAAATGCACTTGAGTCAGACAAGGTTATTGATGGTGTGGTTTGGCTGCGCTGGGTTTGTACTGGGGTTTCAACTAGGTAGATGCTCACCATTTGGAGGCATGCCGCCAGCATAGGTTTTCTTTTCCTTTTTTTTTTTTTAATTAAGTGATGTATAACAATCACTGCTTTTACTTATGGCTACAAAGACTAGTCTGATTTCAACTGTGTTCCTCATTCCCTCTTCTGTAGGGAGTGCCAACCTTAGGAAAAAGGAAAAGCTTGTTACATGTCCCCCACACTCTAGCACTTTTGGGTATACCAAAAGTTACACAGTGCTCCATGAGCAAAGATTGTTTTTCACAATTGGTTAGCTGTAACTTGGTTAGATGCTCCTTCAATTTGGCTAAAAGTAAACAATGGAAACCACCCACCTCACTGGATATTCCTAACTAGCTCTCCCCCAAGTCTTCCTACCCCAGGGCAACATGACCAAGTACCTGTCCTGGTGAAGTGTGATCAAACAGCAATATGTGGGGAAGGAGAATGTTTCCAGTTGGGAAATCAATTTAGGCTCATTCACTCAGGAAAGCGAATCTACAAATGAGCCCGAGGGAGTCTTCCTGTGCCCCCAGGCATAATCAGCCCAGTTTCTGTATTTACAAAATGGGAGAGTCCTTACTGGCCAGGGCTTCTCCAAAAGCCAGTGCTACCATTAACTCCAGACTGCTTGGTTTGGTATGCCCTGGGGGAGGACCCTGGAGAAAAGAGATTCTCTATACTCTCAGCAGATCTCAAGTTCAAATAGAACTTGTATCTGAGCAGACCTGCCACAAGGCAGGACGCCCTGCCCCTTCATATCTAGGACATCACTTTAACAGTGTCCCTGGAACTGAAAGGCCAATTTATAGGACATCTACAATTGCCTCAAAACAAACACACTGACTGGCTCCCTCCAGAGTGGTCCACACAAGGAGAAGCCCTGAGCCAGCCCAGACCTACATTCATCATGCCTACCGGACTCACCCTCAGCCATGGTGGACACCTCATCCTGGAGTGCCAGGATCAACTTGGCCTCTCGAGTGAGGTACTGACAGCGGCGCTCCTCGTGCTGCAGCACAGTGGCGATGCGCCGAGACAGGTTATGCAGACAGTTGATCACAGATGGGTCCGCGTTGGCCTGCAGGAGGCCATACAGACTCAATCATGCACAAAGGGACAGCTAGACACAGTTTAAAGGGAGCAAATGCATGTGCATAGCAAACGCTTAAACCCTAACCACTTCTCTTCCCTAGGTTCCCTCCAGAGGCCAGTACCATTCAAAATTGCTTGTGCCTTCCACAACCCACCCACAGCAATGCTGGATGCCAACCCCACCCTCTATCTTGGGAACTACCTAGATGGCTGCAGAGATAACCTTATGAGGGACACATGCATTTCCACTGTGACAGGACCATGTAGAAAAGCAGGGTACAGCTGAGGGCACAGATCTCACCCTCCCACTCGCAGTGTGATCCTGAGGCACAGATCCTCAATCTAAGGAAGAACAACCAACAACTGAGCAAAGGAAACCAAACAGTGCTCAGAACAGAGCCTGCCCTGAGCAAAACCATGGAGTTGTCTCGATCATTGCAGTGTACTGACTATCAGTGGACATGACTGGCCTAGGGTATGAGAGAATTCAGTCACAACAGGCCACGTTTTACTCGAAGCACTATGGTTAACTGTTCACAGAATATGCTCTGTGAATTAACAAGAGAACCCACTCACTCTAGACCCACATTCCTAACCCCAATGCTCTTCTACACTTACACTGAATAGGTCAAAAGAGCATTCAGGAGGCTCTCTCGGGAGTGTCCCTCCCCACTCTGGATCCTATCGGAAGCCACAGTCAGCCAGGCAGGTGTATCTGTCCAGGCCAGGGGTGGAGCTCATCACTGTAGGGGTCTAAGGATGCTCAACTGAGCAGATAAGTGAGCTGAGCATGACTCGGTGCTTCTGGAGGCCAACAGGGCTGCTGAGTCATATTACAGGGGTGGAGGGAAGGGAAAAGGACAAATGGCACCACTGATTAGAACCTCTGCTGCTGCCTCCTCTTCTGTTTGTCAGGCAGTGCAGTGCCTAATGAGTGTCCATAGCCAGACTTCAGGGTTTGGACTAAGCACTTTTTCACCTGAAGGTGGAAAAGAGTTTCTATACTCTCAGCAGACCCTAAGTTCATAAACAGAACTTGCACCTTGGCAGATTTGCCATAGGCAGCACACTTTGCTCCTTCATGTCTAGGGCATATTCTTAATAGTGTCCCCAGAGGGCCAATTTATAGAATATATGCAACTGTCTTAAGACAAAATACACACTTAGAAAAAAATACTCCACCAGAATGGCAAGGAGGAGACTGTTCTTGAACATGTGATTACTCCCTTGAAGAAGGAATCAGTCACACCTGAGCTCAACCCTCTGCTGAAGACACCACCAGCTGAGGCACAGAAGTGTGACTCTGGCAGATGCCCAGGCCCATTTGCTTGACTTTCCCTTATGTGCAAGGCGGTGCTTGCCCCAGATGAGGCTCAATGACCTGCACCAAGTGAGTTGCCTGCAAGTCTGAGGCTGTTCAGAGAGCTAAGAAAGCTGCCCTAGGGTATACAACGCTGAGGAAGAACACTTTCACAGCAGTTGCTATGAAGCAGTACAAAGTTTACAACATGTTCACATGTGAGACTTTCTCATCCCCAAAACCTGTATCTAAGCACAACCAGACCTTCAAAGTTCACTTCTTTGCAGGACACACAGAAACAGAAAGCATGTATGACCACCTGCACAACGAGATGTATCCAGTGTGGAACATGTGATGGACAAAGGGAAGGAGACCTCTGGCTGCTGAGAAGCAGGCACCACGTGCACTGAGTGGACTATGTTTGCATCCTAGTTCAGGCAGGCTAACAGGTGAAATGTTTTCTCAGTCAGAAGTTCCAGTGGACCAGATACAAAGTTAATATCAACAAATTATGGTAAATTTGGTCAGATGTAAAGAAGATATCATGGCATAAAATTTTTTTGGGGGGACTGGGGTTTGAACTCAGGGCCTCATGCTTGCTAGACAGGTGTTCTACCACTTGAGCCACTCAATTTTTTTTTTTCTTTTTTTGTGGGATTGGGGTTTGAACTAAGGGCTTCATGCTTCCGAAGCAGGTGCTCCACCACTTGAGCCAAACCTCCAGTCCAAAAGTGTACTTTTTTTTTGGTGGTGCTATTTTTTCCTGGCTGCCTTTGATCTGTGATCTTCCTGATCTCTGCTTCTTGAGTAGCTAGGATTATAGGCGTGAGTTAGCCAAACTATACATTTTTAAATGACTACCACTCTAAATTATCAATTCTTTGCAATACTTAACCTTTCTCCCACCCTTCAACGTCATGGCCAGCTGAAGTCCTATACTACCTTGTTTCCTGATACTTTTACCCGGCAGTAGTCTATCTGTACCTTTTCAGGTTCTGACTCATCTCCATTTCTCCTTTTTCATGGCCAATATATTATAGCACAGGCCAGTGCTTAAGACATTGTTTAATCATTCCACAACTACTGGACAATAGGATTATTTCTAGCTTAATTATTATTATAAAAATCTCTACACGAATGTGAAGCTCGTTTTCTTGACAATATTCCAACAGCCGATTGCTGGTCTCAGGACATACGTTCTGTAGTTAAGTGCTGTTCCCCAGAGATGGCTGCTTGCCTACATCAGCCCAGTGGGGCCACAGCACTTCTTACCACTTGTCCCATAGGGGTTATAGATGATGACAGGTAGACAGCATTTGTCATGGTTTTTGTTTGCTTGTTTTTTCACTTTATTTCTCTTTGTGGCTGTTTGTATTCTGTAATTATATAAGAAATACAAGAGCCGGGCATGGTGGCTCATACCTGTAATGCTGGCTACTTGGGAGGCAGAGATTGGAAGGATCAGCAGCCAGCCTGCATAAACAGAGGAGACCCTATTTGAAAATAAGCAAAAAGGGCTGGTGACATAGCTCAAGTGGCAGAGCATGTGCACAGCAAGCACAAGGTCTGAGTTCAAACTCTAATACTATCAAAACAAGAAAAACAAAAACAAAAACAAAAACAAAAAAACAGGAATACTGTGAAAGTACAAACAATGCAGAAGAGGATCAAAAAGAAAGTGAAGACCACCACCTGGGACTTCAGGCCCAGGGACAGCCATCAGCAACAAACATAACAAGCTGTTTTGGCTGAATTTTGTTTGTTTGCTGTGTGAGGATGGAACTCAGGGCCTTAAGCATAGTAGAAAGCACCTGACAACTGAGCTACATTCCCAGTCCCAAAATACCACTTTGTTTTCATTTGTAGTTCTTTACTTATCAACAAGGTAATCCAGTTTTAAAAATGAAGCTCCATTTAAATGCAACTTTTCTCTATCATTTCAGTTCTGAACCATGTACAAGGGGACCTGTACCTCCACATCAAGTAAGGCTCAATGGAAAAAAAGTATGCTGAGACAACATCACGTGCAGGTCTCCTTTCTCTGGGTGTTTCTGGAGCACAGACTGTCCCTTGTACCTGAAATCCAATCACTTCCTTGCTGTCACTTCCTGCTCATAAATTTCTATGCAGGTCATGGATGCCCAGCTAGAAGGTGCTATTAGATTATTGGATGAAAACTTGATAGTAAAATATTTCAGAGGAATTCCATTATTTAACCATCACAGGACATAAATTTCTTAGGTACTTCAAAGTTCCTTCATGATATAAGCTAATCATACCCAGGGATGCATTTTCTGTTTATTTGACTTCCTTATATTTTGAAAGGTTTGTTTGTTTGTTTGTTTGTTTGTTTATTTATTTTGGTGGGACTGGGGTTTGAACTCAGGGCTTCATGTGAAAGGTTTATTGAAAAGGCATTTAGTGAAAACAATCTCAGACAGAGCTGGGAACTACCTTAAGAAACAATGAGACTTACTTTAAAAAGTGGAAAATATAACAAGTGTGGGTAGGGTTGAGGCGAAATTGCACACATAGTACAGCTGCTATGGAAAAGTTGGGAAGATCCTTAAAAGGTTAAAGAGTTACCAGATGAACCAAAATTTCACTCCTAGGTGTATTTCCAAGAGACATAAAAACATATGTTCACACAAAAACTTACAGACAAAGCTGGGTGTGGGAGCACTCTGCATGTGCCCCAGGAAGGATCAGTGTCATGGCCCACCCCAGTCTAGCTCTGATCACTGAAATGGGCTGTTCTCCCTCCAGTCCTCCCCACTGATCTAAACAATCTGTGCAAACACTTACCCTCAATGCAAATACCACATTAAAAAGAATCATGGTAGGTGCTTCCCTCTTCGGGGATGGATCTGTTTTAGAGACCTGTAAGAGGCATAATCCTAATGAATTAAGAGCCTTGACTTTCCAAGGAAAGTTTTTTAGGGCTACTCTACACAAGAAAATGCTCTAGAGAGCTAGGGAACCAGAGAAAAACACCCCAGGGTCTTTGAGTAAGTGATAAGTGAGTTTACTGGGAGGAGTGCTTAATGCCCAAATAGATGAGTGGCAGCTGTAGTGGGAGTCAATGGAAAGAAGCTAACAATGCCCAGAGGTGACAGGATGGAAAGGTGCTCATGTGGAGGCTCAGACTCCCATCCTGCTGCTAACCCCAGTGTCCACCCTGCATCCACCTGGGCTGTCTCTGCCCCATATGGGAAGTAGTCAGGACCATTTAGATACAGGACAATGCTCAGACCAGCAAAGGCCTGAGAAGCCTGATGAGAGAGGGCAGCCAGCCTCACTGCAGAACCAAATCCTTATCTCTGTACTCCCAGCTCTGGCATTCGGCCAGCTTCAATCACAAGCACCAAAGCACTCAAATGCAGCATTCTGCAGGGTACAATAGAGCTCTTCAAAGCCAAGTGCAAGTGTCTCCACTAGGAGCAGTCAAAGCCCAGATCCCAGCTCTCCCTTGGCCACCCAGGGAAGACACCCACCCCTGACAGTCACTTCAGTTCTACAGGGAGTGACACTCCTCCCTCCTACAACCACAGTCAGGTCACTGAGTCCCGTGGGTGAGGCCTGGCGAGGAGAGGAAGTTCTGTCCAAGGAGCCAGACACACCCAGCCACCCCTGCAGCTTCTTCCATGGGCTCAATCATGGAGAAGACCTGCAAATACAGCACAGAGACTGAGCCAATTTCCTACTTGTATAAATGTAGCTAAATTCTGTGCGACAGACTGAAACCCTTCAGAATCTGAGTAACCGGTCACAAGTCTTGCCTGTGTGCAAAGGGCTGATTGGCAGCTCTGGTGAAAAGCTCTCTCTGGTACCAGTGCATTCTGATTTGCTAATACTCCTCAGTATTATAATATTCAGTAAATGATAAATAATAATAGTGCCTATTATAAGGATGATTTAGTAAGAAAAAAAATGCTTGCACCATTTTTCAGAGTTCAGAGGTTTGACAGATGCTGGCTAACTCATTCTCTCAACCTCCCCTGGTAACAGACACCCTAAATACAAAGGGGAAGGTCACTATCAATAGAGATTCAGAATGCAAACAGCAAACACTAATGGAAGGGGGCTGCCTTGTAGCTCAGTAGTATAGCATTTGCCTAGCACCTGAGAGGCCTTGGGTTTGATCCCACAACTGGATGACAAGGACTAAGCACTGGGGCAAGGACCCCTGTCTTTCTCTGCTAGAGCCCTAGGGTCTATGAAGGTACATGGCTCATAGGAAGTGCCTAACCAGGTCTGCTGCCCAAAAAGGGCCATACCTCCCAGGCAGGGCCGTACCTGCCCCAGACCATGCTGCAGCAGCGTTGGATGCCCAACAAACCGAACATTATCAATCTTCAGCTCAAATTTTTGGCCGCACATTTCAGACTTGGTTGCCAAAATTGTCGCCAGAATAACATCTGAAAACCTGAAAATTAAAAACAAAGTAGAGAAACAACAACAACAAAACAAAGTAGAATAGAAATAAGTTAACAAAGTATTACAGCACCAGACCCCAAAACCCTTCAGATGGGAGGGTCTTGGTAAATGGCAATTCTGTGGAGCCACTCTGCCCCCATTGCTGATGGGCATGTCTATCAAAATCAGTGGCTCTCTTGAAGCGATTCCAAGGTTAGGGATATAAAATCACCAGAATTATAGGTAAAAGGCAGGAGAAGCACAGGCTGAAGGCACATGCTGTCATTTCTTGCATGCTCTTGAAATTAGGAAAGAAAACAGCTGCAGTTTGCATTTAAAAGGCGAATCAGCCGGAACCAGCACTGCCCTCAAGAGCCACTCACTAAGGCTCACAAGCAGAGAGGTCTCTCCCCACTGCATTCAGGTTACTGGACTGCATCCCTCATCCCCAGGACCCCTGCCCCTCCCCAAATACTGCCACATAAAGGATAGGGGACAGCACTCAGTGATGTGTGCAGCGTGCTAACTACTTTCCTCACAGCATAGCTGCCCAGCTCTTCTCTTATCTCTGAACACTTAAAACTTTCCAGTTTTTATTAAGGAAGGAACTTGTTGCAAGACATGCAGACCCACTGTGTTACATGAACATGGGATGCAGAAAACTGAGTGCCATGGAGAAGAAGGAACAGCTAGGGTGTGGTGAAAGTTCACCCCTTCCAAGGTGCATCTGCACATTCATCTCCCTATAGGCAACCCTGGTCCTCCCTGCCTGGGAGATACAGATAAGGAGGGTGCCTGAAGGGAGGAGGGTGCTGGGGTGTGGTGCTGCCTGTTATCTCTGAGCCCAAGGCCTGAAGGTCTTGGCTGTAGAAACAGGGCACACCTACACAGCTTCTGATCTGGACCTGGAAGAGTGAGAACTCCCATTCTTCCCTATCCACCAAGGAAAGCACTTCTAATGTCTGAGTTGGGAGGGCATGCTGTCTAGGGGAAGGAGGCTTCAGCTTCCACAGCCATATTCTACCCTGGGCAGGGGGATCCCCACAGTGCATAGTCCTGAAAGAGACCATTAGGAACAGGACATTCCAGTGTGCGTCCTCTGTCATGCTTTTCTCCTAGAGGTCCTCCCGATGAAAGGAGGAGAAGAGTCTAATATCATCAACTCAAATACAGTGAATGACTCTGGGATTATAAAAAGAAAAGGTCCAGGAGGGAGGCACTGGGGTCATATCCAACCACCAAACAAGACTATAAAAAGACAGGAAGTCTGGAGCAAGAGCCTTGGGTGGGGAGAGGGACAGAATGGGAGATAAAGAAGAATGATAGAAGGAGTGAATTTAACTAAGATATATTTAAGCACGTATGTAAATGTCACAATGTACCCCCACTATAATAATAATTTAAAAATTAAAAAATTTTTTAAAAGAGCCTTATTGTGGTCAACTGACATATGGACAAAATATAAGACAAGCAGCTGTGGAATTCTTTCCAAGTCTACCCTGTGCCAATGGGGGTATCTCAGACTGCCAAGGCCTGTAGGGTTCACACTCATCTCCAGCCTTCCTCTAGAATGGGAAAGATCTTCTAGTTGTCCTAGGTCCCCAAACAAACCAGATGCAGAGACTGCACAAAATGGGCTATCTTGCCTCATACAGACAGGTATGGTCAAACCTGCCAAAACTAATCTTCTCAGAACATTCTGGGAGCTGCAGGACCCACCATACTTGGTCTCTCCCTCCCTGGAACATGGCTGCCTGAGTAATTAAAAGACACTTGGAAGATTTCAGTACCTTAGACCAGAGGCACTGTAGGTTTTCTTCAAAAGGTACACTGCTCACTCTGCCTTATAACTCCTGTCTGAGGGGCAGAGGGATGTGGAAGAAGGTTTGGGATAGTAAGACAGTACCACACTTCCGCTCTAGCAACTGATTTAGTGCCAACATTTCACATCCTATCTAAACAAACTCTCTACTCTACCATCCCTTTGGGACTTGGGACACAGAAACAGCAGACAAAACATGTCTATCATTCCAAAAAGCTTATTTGCTCCTGTGTTAGTCAAAAATCTCCATTAAAAACCATGGCTCTGCCATGAAGAGCCACAGAGATGATCCAGCCCTACCCCTCGGGCACCAGTCCACGGACCTAAATTACTCTGCTGGTGAGCAATGGTGGCCAGCTTATGTCTATAAATCCTAAAATCCCAACATGTCCTTGCAGGAGCCAAATAAAATCTATTTCTCTCCTGGCAGTAAGGGTCCTAGAGACAACCAACTAGAAAGCCCTGTGCTGCTGAGGTCAAGTCACACGACCCCTCTGAGACAACCAGCAGATAGCTACTCTGCTTACCTGAGTAAATATGGCCCAAATGTTGCAGCTTATTATTACAGGTTTATGATGAAAAGATACTTGTGTGGCTCTATACTTTCCATAGTGTCTGGTGATGTGATATGCACAAAGATACAGATAGGAGACTGGGAGAGGGGGCAAAATTTACATATAGCAAACTGAACCATAAACAAGTAACAATGTTTATTTTTTGTTTCAAAATTTACAAAACACCTTTTGATGGTGAAAGGCTGGTAAATGTACTATAATACTGCTGGGCACCAGTGACTCATGCCTGTAATCCTAGCTACTTGGAAGGCTGAGATCAGGAGAATCTCGGTTTAAGGCCAGCCTGGGCAAACAGTTCATAAGACCCTATCTCCAAAATAACCAGAGCAAAATGGACTGGAGGTGTGCCTCAAGTAGTACAGCTCCTGCTTTTTTTTTTTTTTTTTTATTCATATGTGCATACAAGGCTTGGTTCATTTCTCCCCCCTGCCCCCACCCCCTCCCTTACCACCCACTCCACCCCCTCCCGCTCCCCCCCCCACAGCTCCTGCTTTGCAAGTGCAAAGCCCTGAGTTCAAACCTCAGTCCCACCAAAAAAAAAAAAAAAAAAAAAGGGAAAACAACACAGTAAAACACCTGTTTTAAAAAAAGTTAACAATTTCTAGACTTATTTGAAAATTCAAGAAAAGCACATTTAGGAAGCTGCACCAGCCCAGATGGAAAACAGGCCAGGACTGAGACAGTCTTCAGCAAGCTTCCCTAGTTTGGCCCAAAAAATGGAGGGGAAGAGAGCCTGGAAGGGAGCTTGACTCTGCTCTTCTATTTGCCTCCTTTTTGGGAGCTCACAGAACCTGTGTGTGTCTGGGATGCCCCACTTCTTCTACAACATCCTACATAAGCACCATATCAACTCCATGGGAACATTTTTGCCTTTACTAAGCATACTCAATATCATCTAAGCCTGAGCACCACACTTAACACCCAAACACAGCTCACACTTACAGACTCCACTAAGCCCCCTTGAAAGCTAAAGAAAAAGAGCAACCACAGCAGGTTTCTCAGCACGGCAGTGGGATAAGGATTGAGAATCCCCACTCCTGCTTACCCACGACCTTCATAGGACTACTGGCTCCTACCTGCAAGAAGAGATTTATGTGCCACACCAGATCCCAGAAGTCCCTCTGGTGGTAGCCAAGCATGCCTTGGACTCTGAGGTAAATAACTAAATAACTCTGGGTGGACAAAGGACAGGAGTAATGAGGAAGTCTGAGCTTTTGCAGGGGGGGACTGAACAGGTCCAATCTAGGGCCTGTGAGCCTCGTTAGTCATTCTTCAACATTGAGGGAAATTAGGAATTTAAGCACAATTACAAGAGAAGGCAGACGGAATCAAGACAGAAAGATGGTGGAGAAGTCTTGATCTTACCCTGCAACCAATTGCTCATCGGTTGGAGGACATGGCTCGCTGAAATGGGAACAGGACCATCAAGACCAAACAAAAACATTGTTTCTTAACAACTATGAAAAGTTACAAGGTTGTCTAACAAAAACAGTATCATTACATGTTAAGTGCATCAAGCAACTTACTGGACAAGAAAGATGACACAGGTACCCACGACAGACACTTACCACGAGATTTTCTTACTAAAGCTCAAATTCTCACATGTAAATATAAAATCAAGCCCAACACTGCAAGACCTGGGCCAGACCCCAGTGTCGTAAGAATTAGCTGGACCCCTGAGCACAAGGGTCTGACCTTTCCAAGAATGGGTCTGTCATCTGTATGATTTTACCTGCACAGGACCCAATAAGAGTCCTCAGTAAGCCTTCAGAACTATGGTGTCATGTGACTGTCATCAGCCCTAACTCTTGAGACTGCCTGCTCACTGACCTGAGCCTCTGCCTGCAACAGCCAAAGGGTCATGGTAGATCCACACATACTTGCATCACAAAACATCTGGGACTTCTCCACTGTCTTAGTGTTTTTAGAAAAAGTTTAAGAATTCATGTTCCTTTATTCTAGGACAGGCTACCTTTCAAGTACACATGGAAACGTGAACCAGGGAGCAGCAGTTGAGGGCCCTGCCACCACTATACCATGCCACCAGGGCTCCATGACCAGCCTGAGGCTCCCCACAGTTCTCACCAAGAAACACACTGCCAAAGACCCATGCAAAAGAACACACAACAAAGGAACCCTTTCCTCAGCAGCTCCCAAACTTCAGTTCTTTGAGCTGTGTAATAGCAAAGGTTTAAGATGTTCTGTAGATTTTCTTTTTTTTTTTTCATTGTTTTATTATTCATATGTGCATACAAGGCTTGGGTCATTTCTCCCCCCTGCCCCCACCCCCTCCCTTACCACCCACTCCGCCCCACCCCCTCGATACCCAGGACCCAGGAGAAACTATTCTGCCCTTATCTCTAATTTTGTTGAACAGAGAGTATAAGCAATAATAGGAAGGACTAAGTGTTTTTTAAGGATAGCTATACAGGGAGTTGACTCACATTGATTTCCTGTGCGTGTGTGTTACCTTCTAGGTTAATTCTTCTTGAACTAACCTTTTCTCTAGTTCCTGGTCCCCTTTTCCTATTGGCCTCAGTTGCTTTTAAGGTATCTGCTTTAGTTTCTCTGCATTAAGGGCAACAAATGCTAGCTAATTTTTTAGGTGTCTTACCTATCCTCACCCCTCCCTTGTGTGCTCTCGCTTTTATCATATGCTCAAAGTCCAATCCCCTTGTTGTGTTTGCCCTTGATCTAATGTCCACATATGAGGGAGAACATACGATTTTTGGTCTTTTGAGCCAGGCTAACCTCACTCAGAATGATGTTCTGTAGACTTTCAAAGACACCCCAAAAAGTCAGAATCCTAGAAGTTCCAGTCTGACCCAGCTTTATCTCCTATAGCTAGACAAGTAACAACAGGATATTCCACAAGACTCTCTACAGTGATGGAAATACTCTAAACTTGCACATTTAATAAAATAACTACTGGTTCCATGTAGCCACTGAGTACCTAAAATGAAGCTACAGTGGGACTGAGGAGCTGGATTTTTTATCTTATTTTGTTTTGGTGAATTTCTATTTAAAGCCACATGGACCAGTGGCTATAATTCTGAACAGCACAGCTGTGCATCCTCACTTCCTTAAGGCAGGTCACCACCATTCAAGTTAACACAGTTTCCTTCCACCTGGCAAAGTGACAAGCAGGAACATTCTGCATCTTTAAGAATGGCAATCAAAGAAAACAGAGAGAATGGGTTGCTGCAGCACTGCATTGCTCCAGGAAGATGCTGAGCTATGACCAGGGCAAAGCAGGGGCCTGGCAGGCCTACATAACAACATAAAACAGCAGGGAACTGGGCCTCTAAGGGAATTAATATGCATTTGAAAACATGGGAGTGAACAAGGGATCCACAGATGCTATAATGTATTAGAATTACCAGATGAGGGGCTGGCAGAGTGGCTCAAGTGGTAAAATACCTGCCTAGTAAGTATGAGGCCCTGAGTTCAAACCCCAGTACCACCAAAAAAAAGAAAAAATTACCAAATGAAACCGTTCTTAAATTTAATAAAAGTGGTTCTAAACAGAAGTAACCCCCTCATGGTTTTCTTTCTTCATTATGTTAAGTACTAAAATAATTCCCTAGAAAATATCCTATGGTCATGTTATAACAAGTCTCTGAAAACCAACTTCAGGAATTAGGTGCTGCTGGCCTTTCAAGGAAATCCCTCAATACAGACTGGTCCAAGACTCCAGCAGCCTGAGCCTCCCATCCACTGAAGCTTGGAGGGAGAAGAATACAGTTTGGGGAAGCCAGCCCTGCTCCATGCTGTTCTGTGACACAGTAGAGGATAAGAAATGCTTGTTCAATGTGCAGGGGCAAACGCTTCCTATGTGCTTGTAACATACAAGTTTATTCCAAGCCACCATCTTTAAAGGACAAGACAACCACAGGCCTCCAGATCAAGACCATCGCTGGGATAGTCAACCACCCTCTACTCTCTCACCCCCTCCACCTGCAGCTCCCTCTTCCAAAGCTCACTCCCCTGAGAGACAGTCACGGCTCATGCCAGAGGCCCTAGCAGCCTCACACATTTTTGGAAAGGCAAATCACTATGGAGAGTGTGGTACCTTGTCAAAAGCACTGGAGGGAACCAACACTACTCACTGTACAACAATGGTCCAGTCCTTTACCCCAGGCAGGCCCTGTTTGTATTTAGTGCAACCCAAGGCAGGAAACTTACAATCTTCTCTCCCTCACCAGGGCCTATATTATTACTTACTAACCTTTAAAATGAGCTTATTAAGAAGGCAGGGTGGTCACTCATCAAGTTTCTACCCTGAAAGTGCCTCCCAGACAGAGCAGAGGGAGCAAACGCAGGAAAGAACAGGGTGCACCTTTCTCCTGGGCTAGAAGAGTCAACAGTCAGACCACCCCCACCTCCATTATCATCACTTGAGCCTAGCCACTTGGAAGGGCCCGTGCCAGGCTCTGTATACCTAAGCACCTGATCTGACTTATGGGCATCTGTTTGAGGAATTAGATCTGAGAACAGCAAAGGGATCTGTTTTCCTCCACCTTTCTCTCATAGGAGAAAACGTCCTATATAGACATGATATCATCTGTTCTCAGACCTGATTTAACAACCATAAAACCCGTAGCTGGCACATGTGCCCAGCAAGCTAGAGACTGGTAGTACAACCCCCAGGTCTGCACTACCTGAAAGTACCCACTATATGGAGAAAAAGGACACCAAAGCATCAGGGGGACAAACATCTGGGTCAACAGGAGAATAGGACTCTGCCCAGGCCAAGGAGTAGGACCAAACACGCCCTGGAGTGACTGCAAAGTCTTTACCTGGAGTCGCCATCCTGGTCATCCGCATGGTCACCTGTGTTGTTAACAGCATATCTGCTACGTGGCTTATCTAAGTAAGGACAAAAAAAGGAGAGAATGGCTAAGAACAGGATCGCTCCATACACAGGAGAATTGTGGAGCCATTAAAACAAATGGTTTCCAAAAACACAGTCTATCTACATAGTAGGTTATTATTCATCCATAAAAAGGAATAAACATTCATGAAGCTTGAAAACATCATGCTGAATGAAATAAACCAAGCACAGAAGAACAAATGTTGCATCTATATTAAAAACCCCTTGTTCCTTCCTATTATTGCTTATACTCTCTCTACAACAAAATTAGAGATAAGGGCAGAATAGTTTCTGCTGGGTATTGAGGGGGGGAGCGGGAGGGGGTGGAGTGGGTGGTAAGGGAGGGGGTGGGGGCAGGGGGGAGAAATGAACCAAGCCTTGTATGCACATATGAATAATAAAAGAAAAATGAAAAAAAAAAAAAAATCTAGAATAGCTGTCGTATGTCGGTAGTTCACACCTGTAATCCCAGCTACTCAGGAAGCAGAGTAGTAGGATCCCGGTTTGAAGCCAGCCCAGACAAACAGCTTGTGAGACCCTATCTCGTAAGAAACCCAACACAAAAAAAAGGGCTGGTGGAGTGGCTCAAGGTGTAGGCCCTGAGTTCAAACCCCAGCACTGCAAAAAAAAAAAAAAAAATCTAGAATAGACAAATTCATTGTGACAGAAAGTAGAGTGGAGAGTGGGCTGGGATAGCGGGAAAATGAGGAGTACTGCTTAATGGTTACCAACGTTCAGTTTAGAGGAAAAAGTTTTGGAAACATATGTTGGTGAATGCTGCACAATACAATGAACGTAATTAATGCCACTGAAATTTAAAATGGTTAAAATGGCAAATTTCATGTTATATATATACTATACTGTATTAAAATTTTTTTCAGCAGTTGGGGACATAGCTCAATGGTACAACACTTGCCTAGCATGTTGGAGGTCCTGGGTTAATCCCCAGTCCTGGAAAATTTTTTTTCAGAAAAAGAAAACTGATGGTTTTCAAGAAATTATGACAACCAGGGGAAATGCTTTATTGGTATGATAGGTTTGGTTTGTTTGGTTTTTTTATGGGACTGAGATCTGAAGTAAAAACTTTCTGCTTGCAAAATAGGTGTTCTACCCCTTAAGCCATATCCTCAGTCCATTTTGCTTAGATAATTTTGGAGATAGGGTTTTGTGAACTATTTATCCAGTTGGCTTCAAACTTCCATCCTCTAAATCTCAGCCTCTTGGGTAGCTAGGATTATAGGCGTGAGCCACCCAAACTGGCCATACCATTTTCTTGAATGGAAAATTCATGAAGATGCCCTTTCTTGCCGACCACGGGTGGCTCAAACTTGTAATCCCCCAGCTACATAGGAGGTGAAGATCAGGAGAATCAAGGTTCAAGGCCAGCCTGGACAAACAGTTCAGGAGACCCTAACTCAAAAAATACACAACACAAAAAAGGGATGCCAGAGTGGATCAAGTGGTGGAGTGCCTTCCTTAGCAAGTTCTCAAGTAGAGCGCTTGCCTGGCAAGCACAAAACCATTAGTTCAAGCCACAGTACCAAAAAAAAAAAAAAAAAAAAAAAACCCAAACTCTGGCAAGAACTACACAGAGGCAAACTGGATACTATTTACAGCTCTGTCACTAAAGCCTACTTTTACCTTAAATAGATAAAGCGCTCCTTCAAATCTATAAGGAAAAAAAATAAAACAATCCAAGAGAAAATTAGACAAAGGTTATAAATAGGTCACTCACTGAAAAGAAAATCCAAATGGTTCTGAAAGCAGAAAAACATGCTACTCTCAAACACAAAACAAATACGCATCAGATACAACACTATCAGATACAACTTTCACAGGTCAAGTTAATAAAAATCAAAAAAGTCATGCACTAGAAATAAACATAGCCAGGTGCCAGGTAGCTCACGTCTGTAATCCTAGCTATTTGGGAGGCTAAGATCTGGAGGATCTCTATTCCTGGCTAGCCCCTCAAGATCCCATCTCCAAAATAACCAGAGCAAAATGGACTGCAGGTGTGGCTCAAGCGGTAGCATGTCTGCTTTGCAAGGGTAAATCCTGAATTCAAACCCCAGTCCCACCAAAAAAATTAATAAATAAACAAGTCCCTGCTACTTGGGAGACAGAAGAAGAACTGCAAGTTTCAAGCCAACCTGGGCAAAGTTAAACACCCTATCCCAAAAATAAAAAAGAAAAGGGGTGAGGGTGGAATTCAGGCCCTGGGTTTAATCCCCAGTACTGCAAAAAAACAAACATGCTCACTATTCCTTAAACCAATCATCCTATTTCTGGGACTTGATCCTACAAATATTCTGCAAAATAACAGATACAGAAAGGACATTTGCACTGCTTGTATCGGCAAAGATTAAAAACAACTTAAGTGCCCATCAGGAGAGACCTCGATGAATAAATCACAGGGTGCTCATCTCATGGAATACACAGGCCACAAGCTGATTCTATACCGAAGATGTACACATAAAAGTAAAAACGGAAATGACAGAGGCCCAACAGCACACAGTGTATTTTCACTTGTGTTTAGGAAACAAATGTCTGAGTGTGCTTATGTTTACACAGAAGGTTCTGGACAGATGCGCAGGAAAATGGTAGCAGGAACTGCCTCTCCAACGGAATCTGGGGTGTGGGAGACCTGGACCTGTGAACCATATTAAGTTTTAAGAACAGTGTTCTTCTAGCCGGGTGCTGCTGGCTCACGCCTGGAACCCTAGCTCAGGAGGCAGAGATCAGGAGGATGTCGGTTCAAAGCCAGCCTGGGCAAATAGTTCGCAAGACCCTACCTCGAAAAACCAATCGCAAAACTAGGGCTGGTAAGTGGCGCAAGGTGCAGGGCCCTGAGTTCAAACCCCAGCCGGGAAAAAAAAAAAAAAGTGTTCATCTACAGAGGACTGGAATCGCAGGGCTATCGATGAGGTCCACGTGCTGCTGCACGGTTCACCGTGTACAGGCGCTGTGGCGTGCACTCTCGGAAGCAGATATCCCCAAACGGCATTCCGCTTTCCTGCGGACACAAGCTGGTGTCCAGGCACAGAAGAGGAGTGCCAAAGCCAGGGCGGACGCCGGCGGGGAGGGCGCGGCTCGCAGGCACCATGCGGCGCTGCACACGCGGATGAAGTCGTGCGCGGCTTTCCGGGCTCGCGCTCCGCCTCGCGCATGCTCCGCAGCGCCGGGCCACGCCCCCGGCCCCCCCAGCGCTCCCCCGGCCCCCCCAGCGCTTCCTCGGCACTGATGAGCTGTTGGCGCTTTCCTACGGATTCCCACACCGGGTCTCACAGGCGGCGCGGTGGCCACGGCCTGCGGGGGCTGGGCGGCGGCGGGCGCCACTTACTTGTCTGGGACGCGGGGTGCTCCTGGCTCCTCTGGAAGGGGTACCGGAACAGCAGCTTATTGCCCCTGCTGCCCGAGCTCACCAGGATCACGCTGATGGGGCTGGTGTTGTCCCCCATCGTCTCAGGGCGGGGCCTAGGGACGCCCGACGCCTGGGCCAGAACCCGGAGCCGGCGCGCCGGCCACCGAACCCACGCGCCTCCCGCCGCGCTCGCGAGACTTCCACGACGGCCGGGAACGCGCGCTGAAGCGGCAGCGCGCGGTCGGGGCCTCTGCGCAGGCGCAGGCGGCTGTGCGCGCGGGCGCAGCGCCGTGGGAAGCCGTGGTCCAGCTCCCGCGTGGATAGGGACTGCGGGGGCGGGGCCTGGGCGCTCTAAACGCTGGTTTCTGCGTTTTAAAGCAGCACACAGCAAAGCGGGGTTCAATATGTGTGGAAATGTCACAAGGGCACCTATCCTATACTAGTAAAAGAAGTTTAAAAAAATAAATTGTAATTAAAATAAAGGCCGGCGTGGGTGGCACACGCTTGTAATCCTAGCTACTCAGAAGGCAGCAATCAGGAGGGGCACGGTTGGAAGCTAGACCCAGGCAAATAGTTCATGAGACCCTGTCTTGAAAAAAACAATCACAAAAATAGGGCTGGTGGAGTGGCTCAGGGTGTAGGCCCTGAGTTCAAATCCCAGTCGGGCTTGGGGGGGAGTAATTAAAATAAATAAAGTAACATACTGGGCCCGGTGGAGATGGAGGAGTTAAGAAAGTAATATAGAAGGGATGAATATCAAAATACAAAAATACATGTATGTAAATACAATGAGACCCCTTTGTACAATTAAATTATGCTGATAAAAAATTTTAATAACACATGTAGGCTGGGAGCAAGCCCCAGTACCACACAAAAAATAATAAAGTAATACAAACACACTTAGGGGGGTGAGTTTCATCAAAGCACATTGTAGATATCCATGCATGGACATATCATAATTTTTAAACCCCTTTGTATAATTAATATACTCCAATTTAAAAAAGTAACACACCTGTTTTGAGCAGAAAATTTAACCCTAAAAGTGTGAAAAGGCTGGGGGCAGACGCGCACTGTCGACCCACACCTGGGAGGCTGAAGTGGAAGGATTGCTTGAGTTCAGGAGCTGCTGAGGCAGCTCACTGAGACCCCATCAACACCAAAGCACTAATTTTAATTTTTTTCCAGAAATTTCAAGGAGGCAAATGATGTTTTATTCTATGTCATATTTCTTTAATTATCACGAAGAGCAAGAACTGTATCATTTGATCATTTGGCAGGGTCTGAGAATTGCCTTCTTGTTGTTCTGATGGTGCTATTTGTCCTTTGATGGTTTGGATGTGTTCTCTGTAAAGGACAGTATCTCCTGCTGCAGACTTTCCCAGTCTTTATCTCAGTCTTGTATGTTTTGATTTTATGTATAATGAGAAAGTTTTTGAGTTCTCCACACGTCCCAGCAGTATCTTTGGAATGGAACCTGGGGAGCAGGAAGAGGAGGGGACTGGGAGGGGAGCAGATGGGAAAAGGGAGCCCAGTGCCTGGGGAATGGCTGAGCTGTGGACATGAGGCCTCCCCACAGAGGCACTGGGAGTCCCTAGATGTCCAGACATATGAGCAGCACTGTCTCAGGTCTCTTTCCTCTGACTTCCCCTGCACTGAGCAGGACTTTGGGGCTCCTGCAGCCATCCCTGGGCTAAGGGAAATCCCAAACTTGGAGGAGCCCACTGTTTCCCAGTTATGCCCTGAAGGCTCACTTTCTGCCAGTATCCTTCACAGGAGCTTTCATGGTTTCCTTTTCTGACTGTGTAATTGATAATAACAGGCATTGAAATTAGTGCAAAGTACAGGGAGAGCACCAGATCCCATCCCACAGCCTGGACTAGAGATTCCCAGCACCACCCCCATGGGCATCACCTCAGCCCTAATGCCATTACAGAAACCAGAGTTCATGGTCACACACTGGCCTGAGGGTCCACAGGCCCTATCGTGGACCTCAGTTTCCCCACCAGTAGCAGGATGAAGCAAATGGTCTCAAAGTACAGACATAAGCTCTAGGCTCTCACATTGTCTGCTGGATGTGAAGCACCAAGGCCATCTATGCTCCCTGCAGAGTGCATCCTCAAACTCTTCTCTGCTAGGTCCCCACGCCACTGGGTTTTCATTTCAAATTTAAATAACTTGTTTTCATAACCTGCTTTTTAGAAGGAAGTGGACTTTTGGCAACTGAGACCCCTCAAGCCTTCCTCCCTGCCTTGGGTGGGGCAGAAAGCCATTTGGAAACTGGGCTTTATCAGTACTGTCACTTGGTGGGCCAGAGGGCTGGGTGGAGCTCACAGACGCTATCTGGGACTGGTCTTCTCACTGCAGTGTTCCTGTCCCTCTTGAGAAGAACCTGGAATAGTAACAAGAGTAATCTTCAATTCTGCATCATGTCCTGAGCTGTCCTGGCAATAGCTCTTTCCCAATGCTAACATGGGGCTAAGGCTAACACTCATCACAGAGGTCAAAACAGTAAAATGGACTGGAAAGGTTGGTTAGCCTTCCCAAGGTCACCCTTGGGTTTGCAGACTCCTGGCCTGGCCTTCTACTAAGTGACCAGATACCCCTCTGAGTTCACTCCAGCTACTCAGGTTCCGAATATGCCTGGAGCTGGAATTCTGCCCATGGACCCAGCAGTCTGGCATCCAGACCAACTGCATAGACTCAGGCTTCTCTTATCATAGGTGGGGATACCAAGACTGGCCTCAGTCAGTCCAGCTGGCATCCTAGCTCACACCAAACCATTTGGTTAGTTCCCTCCTCCACTGAAATTGTGAACATATTTCATAATCTGAGTCTCCATTTTCTTATCTTAAAAAATCCAATAATAAAATAAAACCTCCCTATCAGAAAGGTCATAGAGTCAAGGGCCTGACATGAAAAGGGTTTGGTGCTGTGTGCAGAACTTAGAAACACTTGATAAATGTTACTGATATTTATACAATGACATATATACAATGGAGTGTTACTCAGCCATAAGGAAGAACAAAACTGTGTGGTATAAAGGTAAATGGATGGAATTAAAGGACATCATGTAAAGTGAAATAAGCCGAAAGACAGATCAGAAAGACAAAGACCACATGTTTCCTCTCATATGTGGAAGATAGATCCAAAGATAAATGTATACACAAAACCAAGCATGATCAAATACACATTTATACATAGAACGTGTTTAAAATAGTGAAACTACTCTATGGCACTCAGGAGGAGGGAAAGGAAAAGAGAATGACAGTCAACAATGTTGAAATGCATTGTATCTCCGTAGGTGGAAGACATAACAATATGTACTGAAAGCTGTTGAATAATGTGGGGTGGGAGGGTGGGGGTAAGGAAGAGTAATAGAGGGCATTGAACTGACCAAAATTAAGTATATTCACAGCTGAGATACATCAAGAAATTCCTTTGAAAATTGACTGTGGAGCTAAAAATGAAAGACAGGACTGTGAAATAAATACAGTATGGGAGGTACTTATGTGGGGGAGGGTGAATGAAGGAGATGAAAGTGAGGGAATGTGGTTGTTGGGCTTCATATACATATATGAAATAGAACAATGAAACCTCTTGCAATTGCTTTTAGAGGGGTATGGAGCAGTTGCAGAGGGGATACGGTTGGGACAATCTAACCAATGTGCACTGTAAAGCTGTCGGGAATTGGCACAATGAATCCCACCCCATACAATGAATATATGCTAATAAAATATAATATAAGCAGCAGGACCAGGTGGTGTATGTCATGTCTGTAATCCCAGCACTGAGGCTGAGGCAGGAGGATCAGGTGTTTGAGGCAACCTGGGCTACATAGTGAGTTCTGAGGCACCCTGGGCTACATAGCAAAATCCTGTTTCAAAATATAATAATATAAAAATAATCTATAAAATAATTATAACATAGAATAATCATTTTATAGTTAACAATTCAGTGGCTTTTGGCACATTCATAGTACTGTAAATCACCACCTCTACCAGTTCCAGGACATTTTCATAATCCCAAAAGGAAATGTCTGTCTCCTCTAGGCACTAACTCCCCTTCTCCCCTCTCTTCAGGCCTGACAACAATAATCTACTTGCTTTCTGTGGATTTGCCTGTTCTGGACATTTCCACATACATGGAGTCAAATGACAATTTACCCTTTGTGTCCAGCTTCTTTCATTTAGTATTGTTTTTAAAGTTCATCCACGTTGTAGCATGTACTTCATTTTTAGGGCTGAACAATATCTCATTGTATGGAAATTATTTATCTATTCAAATATTGATGTACATTTGGGGAGTTTCCAACTTTGTCCTATTGCAGATAGAAGGGTACAACATTTTTAAACAGGACAACAAAACCACTAATTTGACTGCCTTAAAATTATAAATGTCTAGGTTGGGGCATGGTTCAAGTGGTAGAGTGCCTGCCTAGCAAGTGCAAAGCCCTGAGTTCAAACCCCAGTACCACAACCACCAAAAAAAAAAAAGAGAAGAAGATTATTTAAAAAATTATAAATTTCTAATCAACCAAAAACAGCATTAGTAGAGTGGAGGCAGGAACTGGGGCATGGTTCAAGTGGTAGAACATTTGTCTTGCATGCACAGGGCCCTGGGTTCAATCCCCAGTAATGCAAAAAACAAAGACAAAACAAAACAAAAGCCCCACGATCCAGCAACTCCATTCCTGGGTATACATGCAAGAGCTGCAGGCACATGGGTACCAAGTAACGTGAAAGAATACCCATTGCAGCCTTATTCATAGTAGACAAGAATTATACCCAAGTGCCCAACCCCAGCACAACAAGTGAATTGTAGCACATTTCTGCATGGAAATAAACAACCACTACACTAGTAAGTGAAAGAAGACAGACACAAGTGAGTGCCCCACGTACTTGATGGTGAAAAGCCTGCAGGTTGGGGGTGTAGTTCAGTGGAAGAGTACATGCTTGGCATTCTTGAGGACCTGGTTTCGCACCAAATCCCCAGTGCCAATCAGTCAATCAATAAATGAATAAATGCAAAGACAACTTACAGATGCTAACAGGTGCACATTTGGGTGATTTAAAATGTATTGAAGATGAGCACAACAGTGGGCACCAGTAATCCCAGCTACTCAGGAGGCTGAGGAAGGAGGATCAATTGAGTCCAGGAATTTGAGACCAGCCTGAGAACATAGTGAGACACCATCTTAAAAAAAAAAAGTTATTTAGAACCAAGAAAGTAAGGCAAGGCAGAAGTCACCTTTAAGAATGCTGAAGGTTTGCCTTTTTTTTCCCGTGGGGTTTGAACTCAGGGCTTCACACTTGTAAAGCAGGTTCTCCGCTACTTGTGCCACACCTCCAGTCCATTTTGTTTTGCTTATATTGGGGATGGTGGGGGGGTGG